TGACCCAGCGGTTGTACAGTCCATCGGGCGGCTCGTCCAGCACCAGCTGAAGGATGGCCTTGCCGGCCCGGATCTGGAGGAGGCGAGTGCCCCCTCCCCCGGCGCGCCAGTACCCCTTGCAGTACTTGCACATATAGCCCCCCCGGGTCTCCCCCTTCGTCTTGGGGATGAGCTCCCATGGGGTGACTGAGCTCAGAACCAGGCCGCACTCCATGTGCGCCCAGAAGACGTGCTTCGTCTCTGCCGAGAAGTTCTTCTTCTTGTAATCCTTGCCCACCACGCCGTGGACGTTGTCCGATGTGATGGGGGGGTAGACGATCCCCTCATCGCCCTCTCCTCCCCTGGGGCGGATGTCAGGGCCATCGGCACCTGTCCGGCACCCGGGGGCGGAGGGGTCCAGGCCCATCAGCTTGATCATGTCGTTGGTGTAGCCGAGCTTGCGGTAGATGGAGGGGGCCACTGAGTCGGGGACTGCGCCGACCCACCACTGCTTCGTGTTGCAGCGCCAGTTGACTTTCACCTCCGCCAGGGCCCCCGGGCCTCCAATGCGGTCCATGAGGGCCTGGTACACCTCTGGGAACTGCTGGAGACTCTCCACCGGGACCGATATGCGCTCATCACATACCGCCCGGAGGATCATCTGTTCCTTGGAGTCCGCCACGTCCTGGACCGGGAGCTGCATTACCTCCGCCGGGGTGTCCGTGAGGAAGGCCCGGGCCGCAAGGACCTTGCCCATGGCCCGGTAGACCAGGCGCCACTCCGGTCCTGTCTGCGGAAGCGGAAGGCCCTCCTCCTTCAGGAAGCACCGAGCATCTTCCTTCTTCTTCGGGCCCCGCTGTCTAGGGCCCTGAAGCAATGGCAGGGACTCCCAGACTGCCCAGAGCTGGCGCAGAGTGAAGCTGTGACCAAACATCCCCAGCAAGCCTGGGAGTGTCCAGGACGAGATCTGGCGCGCCCAGTGGAAGTCCTCCTCCGGATCGTGGGGGGCCGCCCAGAAGATGGATCGCAGGTCCTCGGGGTATGGTCGGTCTGCTGGTTCAGCTCCTCAACGGAGTACCTGGCCCATGGGAGTCCACCCGCCTGGTGGTTCCTGGGATGCGTACCCTTTTCCAGCGCCTCCGGATTCACCTTGGTGAGGTTGTTGGCCCAGTCCGGGACGTGTACGGGCCCCGGTCGTCGGACCCAGCGGCCCGCAAAGATGCGGACCTCTCCGACACGCTTGCTCATCATCCAGCGCAGGACCGCGAGCTGCACCTCCGGGTCCTGGGTGTCCAGGCCCCCCGGGGTGGCGGACGGCTTGTCAGGGCCCTCGGCACCTGAGCTCGTCGCACCAGAGCCCGAAGCTGGGGGGATGGTGGGCTGCCTGTCAGGGCCCTCGGCACCTGGGCGCGCCGCACCAGAGCCCCCCGCCTTTGGAATGGGGATCCCCGCCAGATCCGGCAGATCTGCCAGGAGGGCCGCCGGAAAGGGGTTCCTACCCAGCGAGATGACCGCCTTGGCTTCGAGGTAAGAGTCCGTGAGGGACGTGAGGTCGTCCATGCTGAAATCCCTCCATGCCGTGGTCGGCTCAAAGACCCCTGTCTCAATGGCAACTCGGACCTCGCTAGGCCACGCACTGAATGGAGGCTTGATGGGCTCGAGCATTCTGGTCTCGAGGGCGCCCTTCGCTTGTCTGGCCTGGTGCTTTGCCTTCGCCTCTTCCGCAGTGGTCTGGGCCTGGAGGAGCTCCGGTGTGGGCCTCCCCCAGTCCGCGCCCAGCTTATCCAGCAGTTTCTCGCGGAAGAGGTCCAAGTCCAAATTCTTGAGGAGTTGGCCCCCATCGCCTCCTCCATCGATGGCCCCTCCTTGAAGCTCGTGGAGGACCGCCGCGGATCGCTCCACCGCTGCCACCTGGTCTGCCTTCTTGGCCTCCTCCTGGGCGATGGTGGTGGCGTTGAGCCGGGTCTGGATTTTGAAGGCCTTCACTGCCGACGGGTGGAAGGCCCTGCACTCCTGGCCCTCTTCCTTGTCGCCCGGCAACGGGGGCCTTTCCCCCATTGGGGCCGTCAGGAAATCCTCGTCCAGCTCCATGGGGCAGTTCCTGATCACCGCCCGGACCGAGGAGGGGACAAAATCCGAGAAGCTGGCCTGGTCCAGGTTCTCGCATGCCATCGGGTCGGTGGCCAGCTCGCTGACATCCACCGAGGCGCTGAGCTTGAGGTCGCGGGCCCGGTCCGTATCAGGGCCATCGGCACCTGCGGACCGGGCCGCCGTCCAGACCGCATTGCCCTGGTCATCCACTGTCAGCTGCCAGTGCGTGCCCGCCATTTCCAGGGTGGCCAAGTTGGACGCCGTGTCGATGGGCTCCGTCTTTTTGCCGCACCCCATACACTTCCTGGCGCCCTTCTTCACCCAGGGCATGGTGCAGCAGGGGCAGATCCAGGATGTGGGCTCCTTACCCAGGGGGCGGTTCTCCAGGCCCCCATACCCCAGGCCAGCGCGCTTGCCAACCTTCTGTCCCGGGGTGCTGAGCAGGGCCTCATGCTCATACTTCATCTTGGCGATGTAGAACGCCTCCACCACGCGCTCCAGGCCCCCCTGCTTGAGTTGGGGGCCCTCAAAGCCTCTCAGGAGCCGCTGGACATCCTTGGCCTGCAGTCGGCGGAGCCTGGTGGCCGTGGTCGCATCAAAACACGGGAAGTCGCCCGCCATCTGGTCCGCACTGAATTGGTAAAGGCCCTCAGAGACTTTGGGCTGCGGGGTCCTCATCCCCCTCCGAGGACGCCTGCGCCCTGGCCTTTTCCATCAGGTCCTGGCGTCCCTGCCACTTGGTGTCGGACATCGGGGGGTCCACCTCATCTTCCGCCAGGGGTTCCTCCATCAGGGGCTCCTCCTCGTCTTCCGCCAGGAGTTCCTCCATGGGAACATCCGGCTCTGGAGGGTCGAGAAGCTCCAGGAACGCCCCTGGGGGGCGTGTCAGGGCCTTCGGCACCTGCGCCACCCCAGGGGAGGAGTCCGCCATCAGCTCGTCCTCGGCCTTACGCTTGGCTGGGATGGGTGGGGCTTGCTCCAGCTCGTCGGCGCTGGAGAAGAACCGTTCGTCCGGTGCCTGAGGGACCTCAGCCGCCAGGACGGTCCAACCTTCTTCCTCCTTTTTCACAAGGCTTGCCAGGTACTTCGCCATGGATGCCTTTGCCTTCGCCTTAGCCTCTGCAACCGCGGCACCAGCATAGGCGGGGGCGTACATGGCTTTGATAGGAGGGGAATGAGAAGTTTCAGATTCCAAGACAGAAGGGAAGTGCCCACTTGAGCCAAAATGGTGGCCCAAGTGGACACTTACAAAGAGTCAAGACAAGCGACCACCTGCGGTTAACACTTTAGCCCACCGAAAGGCCTGCCACCTTTTTTGAGCCGACGGGCAAAACAACACCACTCTCCACTAGCGGGCGGGCCAACGACGCTGACCACCTGGTGGGGCTTACAGCGTGAGGAATGGTCAGTGTTGACCATGTCTTGCCCGGCAGCTCGCTCTTCATCCGGGGCCGTCACATGCAGATCAGCACCTGGGTGAGCTCCCAGAAGCTGAGGCTCATCAGCGCAGCCGTGCGGGTCAATGAGCAATTCCTCTGCTGCTGCTGGAGGCTGCGCAACCAGCACGAGCTGGACGCCGTCACTCAACAGAAAGGAACAACAACGCAAAAAGCTGAAATGAACCTTACCGAGATGCTTACGATCTGGCATTGGTTCACCTAGCCACGCTTCGTCTTGGACTTCTTCCCCGGGCTGGCACTCTCTGCGCTCTCCTTGGATCTCTTCCCAACATTGCCTCAGGAAAGTTTTCTGCGTAATCTTCAATCTCGAATCTTCCATCCAGTGGTAAAATACTTTCAAGTGCTTAGCGATCCAGTGGAAACACTTTCAAGTTATTAGTTAGACAAACTTTCAAGTGCTGTTGGTGAGCTTCATGTCGGCTATGATCATGTTGACCCTTTTCCAGGAGGTACACAAAGGTCGGTGTAATGCTCAACAACACTGTACTTTCATTCTTTAATTTCGAGGTGCAGGATCATTAGGGGTACTATATATTTATATGTGTGTGTGTATGTATGTGTATATATAGATATACATATGTATGTATGCTCACACACCGTTACCCCCCTCTTAAACCACCTGTCCACATTTGCTCATCTACTACCTCACCTTTTGAGATAGAATGAATTTTGTTTTGTGCGCAAATATAACTTTCAATACAACTAATTTAGCTAGAATCCCTGTTTCGAGATAGGTTTGGCATTTGAACCTCTCTTCCCTTGAAATGTCCCTTTGGAACACCGTCTAACAAGTTCAATGTCGGACCTTTCTTATGCTACAAAAGGGCGAGAATTGAACAACACAAATCGTATTTTGAATTGCCTTGTAGAAGTCCCTTAAATGTTTCACCATGTTTGAGATGAATAAGTTTTGACAAGTCTTAGACTATATTTGGGAATCAACTCCTATCTAACTTCTTTTGTTAAAGATTAGTTGGAGTTTGCCCAAAACTATACTTACATTTTCATGTAGCTCCTATTTGGAAAGGATTTGCTTTTCTAAGCTGTAATTGAACATTCACACATTTTTGACAACTGCATCCTCACTAGACTATATTCGAAGTTCCATTTCTAGTTGAAGTAAAGCATATTGGGACATTATGGAGGACTCCGGGCTTCAAATTGTCAGGCTTTGGGAACCCACAAAGGAAGTTTCGAGAATATGAATTTGAGATTCTAGATTTGCCATCCCCAAAAAGCAGAAAAAGCAAGGTCCAATGGGGGGGGGTGACCATATATACATATATATATATATGTATAGATATTCTATGCATACACCCACACATATATCTGCAATGTATTACTTCCAAGCACCTGAAGAACCAAGGACCTACAAATCAGAGTGAGCTTATTCTTTTTGCCTCGGGTTGATGAGCTCGCTCGCCAGAGGCAGATATCGGTCGCAAGTGCCATTCCGGCTGGGCCCCAAGCTCCCAGCGCTGTTCCTTAGGCAGCCATCCCCCTTCCCACGCGAACCCTTGGCAAATTTCCGAATGGGGAGGTCTGCGCAAAAATCATTTCACACGTGGGCATGTGCGAAAAATATTGGGGGAGGTCCCAAAGGTGGCGTTCCTCTTGGCTTTCCCTTGAGCCCAAAACGAGTCACCAATCCTCAAGAAACTCACGCAAAGTCACCAATCCTCAAGCAAGCTTTGCGGACTTGACGTATCGGTGATGCCGTGGTCACACGCGCTTTTCTGTGATAGGTCAAAATCGAGAATCTGCAAACAATGCGGAATAGTCATGGCATTTGTAACGCAAGGACTTCTTGACAGTGACTCTGTTGCAGCCATTTACTCAAGAGCCAAGTGAACTTTTGAGCGACCACATCTCTTGCAAGTCACGCTCAGGTGATCTCCTAGACTAAGATTTACCACGATCCATACCAGCCCCAATGCTTTGCCACTCCCAAAGTCACCCGCGTATAGTAGCAGTGGATCTCCAGATCCCTGTAGATTGGCCATCACTTCAGTTGCAGTACAGGGTTTGAGTCCTCTCCAAACAAATCCATGGCCTAAAACTGGAGCCAAGGTCAACGCGTTCCTGGCAATTAAAACGATCATCCCCAGCCAGAAAGCGATTGCACCCGCCCATCCTTGCCAAGATACCGCTGCACCTCATCCAGGAAGGCATTCCTGGTTAGTCCGAAACTGAGGCGCATGGAAAGGAAGCTCAGAGATTCACGAAAAACAAGTCCTATCTCCGGGCACAGAGATCCATGTCATGTTAGGCCAGCTGAGACAACACTGTAGGTAGCTGCTCTGCATCGATGTGATGTGCAAACGCTTTCAATCATATAGGTTCCTCGCCAGAAATACTTGGTTGACGTTGGAAGGGGAGCAAAAATTTAAACTTTGGCAGTTAAGTGGGGATTTCAACCACAAAACCACAATTTGCAAAAATGTAAAAGCCGTTTCCCAACAACAACCATGGAAATAGCAGCCCGTCCAGCAAGAACTGTTGCTGTGCCCAAGCTGCAACCTGACTTCAACAAACACAGGCGACACCGACTGCAATGCTCCAACGCAAAACAAATCTAATCTGTTACAGCAGGCAGTCTTGCATTGATGTGTTGCAAGATATTCACCTAGAATGCATTGGCGGAGGCAACAACACTGCCTTTAACCAAAAGCATGCTGCATCAAGCTTGCCTGCCATGAGTATTTTGTCAGTCCTTGTGTGTGTCAGCGTGCAGTTTAACGGTGCGGGACTGCATGTAGAAATGTCCCTGTACACGTCCACGCCAAAATTACAAAATTCGCACAAACCTTCAAGAGCTGTTCCGACAAAACTTGCATAACGCTTCTGACAACAGAAAAAGGAACACCGTTCAGCAGCAAAACAAGCGCCAACGTGTGCGCACCACAACCGCAGGGCTGCTGAGGCTGGCTCAGCTGGAATGGCCTTACGCTCCTAGCTTCTCACGCTGATAGCTTGCTTGCACCATTGGGCATCGTTTTTCTGGGTGTGTCGGGCCCATCGACTGGAAGCCATGCCGAGACGCGATGCCTCCAGTGTAATCTGGTGGAACGATACCTACGCACGCCTGCAGGGGTGATCCCGTCCGGCTTGCGCCGACTGCCCCCCCTCCGCCTCTTCAGCTCGCCGGAGTCCTGAAAGGGCTGCAGCCAAGAGGCCGCGGACGTTTCCAGCTTGAATACTGCAGTTGGCCAGAAAATCCCCCAAGCCGGCGCTTGCAGGCACAAAGTACCGACTACTTCGGTTGGCCAGAAAGTCCCACAAGCCGACCCTTACAGGCCAGGCACCAAGTCCAATGACTTTTCCGTTGCCACGAAGATGCCTTCCCAAGTCTGAAGTCCAAGACATCGCACTCGCTCCTCGCGGGGCTCCCGCACTGCCGCGGCATGTGGCAGCGCAGGGAAGCGCCGACCTGGCGCATCTGGGGATCAAGCCGTCCGGAGATGATCTGGTCCTGTCGCCTCTTAGCACAACCCTGGTCAAATCTGGGTCATGGCAAAAGGAAGCTGTACATGTCTTAGGTTGATGGCCATCTCCAAGCAATGGGGTCTTTTGACCATGCCCACCCCCCCAACCCAAAGAAAGAGCAGCCACTTTGGACTCACTTTTGGTAGTGAAAAATGCGAGTCTGGCGTGCTTTTGTTGCAGCCACTATGGGACTGGGCCTCTCGAAATAGCTGCGATTGGCTCCCAGCGTGGCCTTGCTGGGTAGTGTGCTGCTCTGGCTCCGCTGCGGTCTGCGGAGGAGGAAAAAGAGAAAAGTTGGGGGCTGAACGCTCTTGGGAATGCATCAACGGACCGCCGCAGCTCTCACTGAGCCCAGCTTCCCATGACAGGTGGTAGAATATGATCAAAGATGTTTGGCTACGGTGGAACACATGGCAGAATTTTTGAAAACATGTGGGAAGCAGCATGATTTGCCATTTGACATATTGAGGGAACTATGCATACCCCACCGGTACATAGCTGCTATTAGCTCCTCCAATCAATTCTGACCCGATTTTTGGCGATCTCCAGGACATGCTTGTCACTTACACATATCAAAGGACCCAAACACCATTTTCTTGACTTATTGTCAACCTTTAGCCGAAAGGTAGGAAAAGGGACCTTTTCTGCTTGAGGTTAACCCTTTTTAGCGGGGAACCAATCAAATGAAAGGACTTAGACGGTGTCACGAAACAACTGGAATTTGGCACTCCAACCCAAAAGAGACTGTAGGTGCAACAAATGGCATTCGCCGGAGGAATGCGCCAAGGAGTTCCTCAGGTTGCGACAGCACCACGCGCACATGGGTGCCCCGTGGCCTACTTATCTCACTTCCTGAGTTGGCCAAAACAAGCAGCCAAGCTTTTTTGTGGTTGGCCACTACAATGGTCTTCCCAAACAGTTTCAAATCCAGGAACTCAGGACTGAGGTAAGGGGTTGTGGAACAATCACAGATTCCACGCTTCCCGAGACACAGACAAACACGCAGCCTAGCAAAGAACACACACAACCGCCGTGGCAGAGGCACCCAACTGAAGTCAACAAGAGTCTATGTTCCTCAGCGTTTACAAAGCGCATAATTGTCAGAAGCAAACTCTTGACAAACACCCAGCAGCACAATGGCATCTTCAATCTATGGGGATTCAAAGGAAACTGGCTGTCAATCTGGAACAGATCCTCATGAAACAGGTCTTGTTGATTGAATTGGTTTTCGGCAGTTCAACAAACACATTTGGTACTACCCATCCTAAGCTTCGTGTCTCACCTGCGTGGTGGGGAAGTGGGGATGCCTCGCAGATTTGGTGAAACCTCCAGGCACCAGACCTGGAACCCCATTTGTGTGGCTTCAAAGGGACACCAAAAGAACAAAACACCATTTTGGAGGGTCCCCTAACAAAGACACACCTATTTGTCCCCTCGGATTCTGAGAAGAAAATCACAAGGAATCCAACATGATCCCACTAGGAAAAACACTCGTCCAGAAGAAATTCAAAAGGCCATCTTTCAGTTGAGAATTTCGAGGTTCCGTGCTCTTTTCACCCATTTTGGGGGGGCCACATCGGCCAACCTCGCTCTCGCTGAACCGGATCTGCTTCTCAGGGGAGGGCGTGTCCTCTACCTCGGCGACAAATTGGAAGGTTGGCGCACCAAATGAAATGGAGGATCTGGGTTCAAAGAGGGCTCCATTTTTGGGCTGAGCTGACCAGTGAGTAGGAACCCAGCAACCAAAATGGGATTCCGAAACTGTGACGAAACAACCTGAACTTGCCCGAATCTGGAAGAGAAGGCACCCAGGATTAATAAACTCCTACCAAATTCAGAGGCAAGTTCCAGCTTAGAGGGGGCTGTTCATTTCTTTGGGAACACGACCCCGCATTGCCAACTGCCAACGTGATTGCCCCGAATGACGTGTGCAGACTTAAAAACCCTGGCGTGTTTGCCGCATTCAAGCTTCATGCTCAATTCAGATGGTCCTAAAGCAAACACATGCAAACACGCTTCCGAGTAGCACGCATTTCTCGCAAACCCATCATCACGTTCAAGTCTAACAGGCTCAAACAAATTGAGACGTAAATCACTCAATGGAGACTCGTCAGCATGCTGGCAGTTCCAAACAGCTGGAAGCAGTCAGACACACACACACACACACACACACTCAGCATCACCATCACCATCACCATCACCATCACCATCACCGCCACACCCCGCCACACCCCGCCACCACCCACCACCACCACTGCCGCCGCCACCACCACCACCACCACCACCACCACCACCACAACCATCGTCATCATCGTCATCATCGTCATCATCGTCATCATCGTCATCATCGACATCATCGACACAACGTGTGGACGCCAACAACACTACAACAATCATATCTACAACAGAAACCGACATCATGGGTTTTGTTCACTCGACAAAACCAACAGCAACTGTCCACCCAGCATCGATCCACCTGGTGAAAGATGGCCAAACCGTTCCCATTTCCTCGACGCATCATGCACGAAACACCTGACAAATGGATTCGAGGCTCTGGCGGCAGTACGCTTTGCCTTGGAATCCTCCCTGGTGCCACATGCAAGCTGTTGAAGCTTCCTGGCGGATCTTTCGCGAGTCTCTCTCTCTCTCTTTTCAGCTTTCGCGCTAGGGCGGCTCTGAGAAAGGCGTTCAAGAAACTGATGACGGGGTTCAAGGGCACCTGGAAAGGCTTTGCTTTGGGGTTGGAGAAAAACAGAATCCAAGGGCCCTGCAGATTGAGTTCGCACTTTACTCCCAGCCGATTGTGAATCCTCGCTTTGGAACGAGCCGCAGAGTCATACTGTCAGTCTCCTGATGTTCAAACAGGTCATCTCCTCATGCGGGCTAATCCTGGCGTCCACCATCGAGGGTTGATTTCAAGAATGACAGCTGTTCTGGATGGGACTTCTTTCCTAGAACCGCCAGTGGTCATGGATAAACAGCACGGAACAAAGGGACATGGACGTAGCGCCTTACCCTATGCTCAGCTGTGGAGGGAAACTTAGCCTTCCATGTGGTTAAGACCCCTGGACAAAAATGAACAGATGTCACGTAGTGATAGATTCCCCTTAAAACCAACAGGGGAAAACAAAACAACTCAGATGCCAAGTGGCCATGGGAAAAAGAAGCACCTTCTTTGTTTTGTTGGGTGAGATTAAAGGGGCAACCCTTCATTGAAAAAAAGGAAAAAAGGGCACCACTGGGCAACTGAGAAAATATTCTTAAGCAACTGGAGGGAGAGATTCTGAGAGCCTTTCTAATGGTAGGGGCCTTTCGGCTCAGTGGAACATATTCTTAAGCAGATGGATGTAGCTGAGTGGTTGCGGCTCAAAGGGCTGGATCGAGCGAGCCTCTGCAGCTCGTCAAAGTCCACGTTGGCTGACCTGGCACCTGGGAGGCCCAAGCCCCGTACCGAAAATCCTCAAAGGATACATCCAAACACCAGCTTCACAAGGGGATCCTCTCCCCAAAGGACTCCTCCTACTCAGAATACCACCGCTTTTTTCAGCGCGCTTTTTTCGGGAAAACATGGTTTTTCCATGGAAAAAATACCTCCTTTCTGAGTAGAGGATCGACATGATACCCTGAAACAAGAGGGTATTTGGAGTAGGGGGGATACATCCGTAAACCAGCTTCACAAGGGGCAAAGTGAAGGTCGTGAAACCTTCCAAATGGCTGTAATGTTGCTTGACGTTTGCTACCAACCCCAACAGGTTCCAACACACACACAAACACACAAACACACAAACACACAAACGCACAAACGCACAAACGCACAAACGCACAAACGCACAAACACGCAAACACACAAACACACAAACACACAAACACACAAACACACAAACACACAAACACAAAAACACACAAACACACAAACACACAAACACACAAACACACAAACACACAAACACACACAAACACACAAACACACAAACACACACACACAAACACACACAACACACACAAACACACAAACACACAAACACAACACACAACCACACAAACACACACAACACACACAACACACACAAACACACAAACACACACACACACACAAAACACACAAACACACACAAACACACAAACACACAAACACACAACACACACACAAACACACACACACACACACACACACACACACACACACACACACACACACACACACACACCCACCCACACCCACCCACCCACCCACCCACCCACCCACCCACCCACCCACCCACCCACCCACCCACCCACGCACGCACGCACGCACGCACGCACGCACGCACGCACGCACGCACGCACGCACGCACGCACGCACGCACGCACCCACACACACACACACATTGCAACCAACAGTTTTTTCACACGTTTCTGGGCTGTTGCCGTAGCAATGAAGCTTTGCTTGCCTAAGCAGGGGGCTCGCAATTGTGTGCCAAAGGCTAACTTCCGCCACGAAAATGTCACCTTGCTGAACCCCTGCTGGTTTTCATGTTGTCCAGAGTGCAACCCCTTCCCACCGAATTGTCCCGCCCCCTCAGATGTGAGAAGCGCGAGGCCCCGACCGTCCACTTCCACGGGGGAGGCTTCGGGGGCGTCTGGGGTCTCGTCCACCGTGCGCGGGGCCGTGGGCGGCTGCGTCGGGGGCTGTGTGGGCGGCAGCGTCACCGGCGGGCCTTCGGCGCTGAAAACGGAGAGGGGGGGGCGGTTGAGGAAAGCTACCTGCATCTGTCTCTTTTTGTTATTTATATACATCGCAGCCCACCTTCAGACCTAGAGTACTGAACTTGGACGAGTGTCTCTTTTGGAGTTGGTGCCCGTCTTTGTGGTTTTAACGGGAAACCAAAAGGGAATCCGAAGCCATTTTGGGAGGGGGTGCTCTAACTATAACTACCAACCATACGGGCTTGGGCTACATGCCCCATTAGCTGGTTGAACCTAAATGTCACCAAGAGAGTCCTCCGCGGGTCTACACACACACACACGAAGATGCAAACCAAAGGCACAGTTGCCGGCAAAGGTCGGTATGACGGCTTGGGAGACCCTGCGACCTCAGGTGCTTCTTTAAACGGAGATCTCGGGCCAGAGATCTCCCAGAAAAATGCCAACGGCGCCAGCCTTCGGGTTCTTCATCACGCGCGGTGGCACGTGCAGCTTCGGGCGAGGTGTCGCCCGCCTCCTATCGCACTCGGTCGTGTCTAAGAGCAACTTCTGGCTTTCGCAGGCCTTGAGGCCATCACAACTTTGGCTTGTTTGGCTCACTCTTTCAAGGCTCTCGTCCGAATTGAGACAACCATGGATTCCCTGGATGCCAGATCGGGTCGAAGCTTCCGTATAAGCGATTCAACCCACAAAGCACCGAACGAAAGGCTCTCCCCGTCTTCATCAAGCCAAGGGCCGAACTTTTCCGTTCGAACAATGACACAAGGCATTGCAAAGTGCCAAGAGTCCGGCAACTTCGCCACGATGTGCTTCACGCCCCATTGGCAATGGAAACACGGCCAAAGGAACTGTCTTACATGTGACAATCGTAAGCCAAGACTTCGCACTTCCCCGCCCTAAGAATCAGCAAGACTGTCCCGGACCCAGCCTCTCTTACCCCAAATCCCAGTGGATCTTGGGAAAAACAGGCACCCCTTTGGTTGGTGTTTCCTCCCATGAAAAGAAGGCACCTGCGGGAGGGTACCTGGATACCAATTTCCGATTTCCTGTGGCACGTAGGGAGGGTAGCTGATCTTCCAGGGCTCCTCCAAAAAAGAGCTCCTGGAGTCTCCATGACCCAAACAAAAATGGGGTTGTCACTGTAAATAGTGGGGACATGGACCTATGTTTAAAGGGTCATGGAGACTCTAGGTTGCCATAAAGCGTCAGCCACTGTAGGTCCGGCCGACCAACGCGACACGGCCCTCCTGTGATCTTCCGGTGCTCTCCTGGCTGAAACCGGGCCGGGCGTGCCTCGTCAGTTCAAGTACTAATACCAACAGTTAAAACAAAACAATGCCTCTCTTGAACTAATTTGCGGGTTGGATTGGTGGTTTGGAGGTTAGGGCGTTCCCATTTACACTCTAAAGCACTGGAGGTCCAATCCAAACCATCAACTAAGGGTCACCTGGGACAAACCAAAAAAATAACATCATCTCTCATGCGGACCACATGAACACCCGTTCTTTCAGCTTCCACTCGTGGTGCGGGAATCCAATTGATTGAAGGCTTTGTTTCCAAGAAAGCGAGGGACACACAATCCGTGAACAGGTCGAACGAAGAAGATACGATATGAGTGAAGCAATGAGTCTTACTTGAATGGCATTGAATTCATCGAGCAACGGCTTGATGTTCCAAGCACTCCTGTCCAGACCAAATTATGTCTGCCTGCTGGCTTCTGCAATATGCACAAATAAACAAATCATGAAACACCATGCAAATGAACAAGCATTATGTTTGGCATCATTTCATACACACGAATTGATCAACAGGACTGTCATTTGCGATTCCTTCACGTGCACGTCCGTCTGTGAAAGCAATTGCCTGTGGGTGGCTTATTGGACGAGACCTCAACCAGCTGACTCCGATCAGCATCAACGCCGGATGGGCTGGCCACTGGCCAGCATCCACAATACCTCTGTAGAAAGCAGGATGCAAAGTCGGGAAGTAGTTAGCATCACCAACTCGATCATTTATTTTCACACTGTTTGCACCATGAACGCCGGTTCAGGGTAAGAGAACAAGAACTAAACGTCAAAGGCTGATTGTATACGTCCAAGTATGAACCCATAGATATGTTGAACCCTTTGGGACCTGATATTCATGCAATAATTAAGCTATAACTAACGGTTTATGCGCACATGCACTAGGGGTTCATACCAGGCATTCATATATGGGCGTATACATTCAGCCTTTGACAGCGAACACCTGAGTCTCACATCCAAGGTGGCCGACAACCCCACAAAATGGCGATTCTTCTTTTGGTGTCCCTTCAAAAGGTGAAGAGGCTACCCTCAAGAAACGCCTACGCAAATGTGACCACAGCGTAAGGTGAAACCTCCACTTGAAGGCGGCTGGGCCTCTAGAACATCCAGCCGCACAACCTGGCAAGAAGCAAGTCTGAGACTCTGAGATCCTTTTCTATACAACTTGGTTGGCTGATGTCCCCTTTGCCTTGCAAGCACATGGGAGTCAGAATCAAAAGGGTGGCCCAAAACCATGTCAAGAATCCAACAGGCGGCTGCACCCAATTATGGTTGGGATCAATTACTAATTTTCTAGCAGGGCTTGGATTCTGGCCATGTAGGCCACAGGAAACCTTACGCTCATGGTTCGAGAGGCTGGCCAGATTCATTTTCTGGTTGCCCGGATCGAATGCAGCGCCGCGGCAAAGCGAGGCAACTGGGAACCTTTATTTAGCTCAACAAACAAGCAGTCAACAACAAGAGCAGTCCCCGGTTTGGATTCGATCGGTGTTCTGCGTTCTTGTGAGACGTGTGGGTTTGTTGCCACTCCCTGCATTGCCGCCATGTCTGGGGTGATAGGACCCAAACAGGACAACCTGAGATACCAGTTCTTGTAGAACTCGAGCCTCGAGAGTCGAAGCCTTTCCTCCGGCTTTTCCGAGATCCTCTTCGGGGTCGGCTTCTGACGCTGGTCCAGGAAAACCAGCTGATTTGGAGGCAGTCATCGATCATGGTTGAGAGGCCTCTGCTTGAGGCTAGAGGTGGCAGGTACCATAGTAGTCAACCTTGCGGAGTCATAATTGCCGCCGCAGCAAAGCGTACAGGGCACCTAGGCTGCCAAGTATGCTTTAACATGGGTTGTGCCTGCTCTGCAGGCCGTGGCCATTTAAACTGCTACCGCATGCGAGTCATTGTATGCACTCTACACATGAGTACCAGACGAATCAGTACAAACTTACTCAAACATGTACAGCATGCAAAGATACAGGGAAGGGGGAGTTCAGACCCCTTCCATAATATGGGTGCGTCCTTTTTTAGAGGACCCACCAAAATGGTGATTTTCCTTTTGGTCTCCCTTCAAACCCACACCAACAAAGGGGGTACTCTAAGAAAAAACACACACACACAGACCCATATGCTTCCGGCTGCCAGGGCGAGGGCAAGCAAAGGGGCAGCAAGGTCTGCTTCAGTCCCCGGACGCACCTCATCGTGAAGCCAGGCACTCCTGGAACGGCTTAGCAGCCCTATGAACTCTCGGTTGCCTTCTGCTCCCCTGCTGAAAGTTTAACTTTCAGTGGTTGAATTGAAAACCCATTAGTTGGCAAAACGCTAAAGCCCTAACATCCAAGCAGCTTTTTATGGGAATGGTAGCGATCAGCGGTGTCTGGCCACGAAACCTACTCTCCCTAAGACTTGTTCAGAAAATCACTGCAGAATTCGAGAACTGGCTTCGGCGAACCAACGCCCACATAGAATTAAGTGGCTAAACAGGCTGACCGCAGCGGAAATGCAACTTCCATGATGACAGCATGCTGCAAAAAATATGTAAAACCAATTGAGAATCGCAACACTCAAAACAAACGCCTCACTGCATCTCTTATCTTCTCGGCATGTCTTAACCCTCTCAAGGTTCTCCTTCTTTGCCCGTGTCCTGTAGTTGGACAAGAAGTAGCGGCCATAGTCCGCCTCCATTCGGCTCCATCCAGGGCTCTGCAACGTCGGAACGTCGCAACCCACCGAAGGCTTTCGGCCTCTGGCCGGGAAAGGTGGGGACTCAGAGTGAATCTGCCAGTTGGCTGAGTGACGTTCCGCATCGCTGGACTGGGCTTGTTCGCTGAAGCTTGTCTCCTCGCGCTGCAGTTTTTGCGCTGGCCGGCGTGCAGTCTGCAAAAGGCAGGCTGCTTGAACCAAGCTGAGGTGTGTCCACATTCACTTGGAAGGCAGGTGTCGGGCTTCATCTCTGCACTCGAACTGACTCCAATGAACAACGCGGTCCCTAAACTCCAAAGCTCTGCCCACTAATTGGTGGTCTGGATTGGTAGTTTGGTGGAGGATTTACCTTGGTGTAAACCAAGGACCGCGCGGACCGCGCATGCTCTGAAGCAAGCCGTCGCCCAAGAGGGAAAAGCGCTCTCGCACCAATTGGCCAAGAGTCGAGCATTTGGCTCAGCGCCAGAACCATTTTTCCCAAACTGCTAGGAGCATTGCCTGCGCTCATGGCACTTATCCGATGCCTGGCAGACAAAAAGGCAGACAGGACCTATGGATAAGGGGCCTTAAGCTTGAGCAAACCACCCCCGTGCGAGCCAGATTACCAAACAGCTGTTGAACCCCAACCAAAGATATGTTTGACAAGCTCCATGTTTGTTTCATTTGAAAAGAGTTCCCAGCATCTGGCTCTCCCCGTGGGTTTTTCTTGGCACTACAGTCACCGGCTCCAAGATTTTCAAGGAGCCTCAGTTCCTAAATCAAGCACGGCCAGTCAGTACGCTGGCCATCCTCGGACCAAGGAGTCTGGCAATGGCCACAGCCGGTGAGGCCAGCTGAAGCCCTTGAGAGTAAATCGAGTTTCTCTTGATGCGAGCTAGTTGCCTCAGAAGTTTGACAGGTAGGGTTCCAAAAGCGATTGATTGCTTTGTTGAAGAACAGGAATGTCGAACGCACACCAGCAGCAACTTAGAAGAAGGCTTTTTGTATCACCCACGAACTCTTCACTTGACAGCCGGGCTGCACGGGCGAACGTAGTTGCATTAAGTCACTGCCCTGCAACCCGGAATCCCGAGTGAAGACACGTGCTTCCTCCCCGAAACCCGCTAGCTACGAAACCTTTTTCAGCAATCATAAAGTACGTGGAAATACAGTGGATGGACAAAATCCTGCACCACCTGAGAAACCCAAAAATAATGATTCCAATGTACATACCAACAAAAAGTGAGAAATCCCGGGGTTTCAAACCGGTGCGACGTGGATTTCGTCCATCCGCAGTACGAGCTCGTCGCCCCGTGAGAAACTTTCCCTCCAGCTGACAATGGGGGGCTCCTGGAAGCCGATTTTCCGGAAAGTTTGGTCCCCCAACCAACGCAGCAGAAGCGGCTTAGCAGAGGTTCTTAGAAGGGTCCTCAGAACTACTTGGTTGACGTTGGAAGGGGAGCAACCAATTTGAACTGTCACAGTTCAGTGGTCGGATTTCAACCGCTAAACCACAAGAAGCGCAAAAATGTAAAATGCCTCCAACAACAACCATGATTGGGTCCAACGGACTCGTTCTCAGAGGGAAGCCAGGGGGTCCCTAAAGTGGAAACCACGGCTACAACCACCATGACTATCTGTCAAATCCCTCCCATCTGTCCCGTCCTCCGTGATGCGAGGCCACCTGGACACCAGTCTGGCCCCAGCTCCGCCTGTGGCTGTGACTCTCCCCGACTGTGCGGAAGCAGAAGCAGCTGGCACTTTGCATTGATAGCCCCTAGGTCCTCCAGCAGAGAGGTTAGAATCAGGGTACCTTGTTTTTAGCAGGGGAACCCTCCCGAAAAAATTGGGCAAAAGGGCACTACCAGGGGACCTAGGCCCACATGGCAATGACTGAAATGACTCAATTTGTCGCATGCGCAAACCGAACATGGCACCCCCAAAAAAAAATGTTCGCGGCTTTGAACCTGCAACGCTGCTTGGCACATTTCATTGCCAAGGTTGCCAAAGCGCCGCTCTCAAGCTTCGCCTGTCCGCCTTTGTGTCGTTATGCTTCTTGCACTGATCTCTGAGGTCGAACGATATTGCAGAACCACTTAGAAGTCATCAAGCGCAGCTCATAAGACTAGGTCCTTCAGTAGAGAGGTTAGAAAAAGGGTACCCTTTTTGCCGTAGTCTATTTTAGTAGGGAACCCTCCCCCAAAAAAAGGGTAAAAGGGCACTACTGGGGGACTTAGACTGTTCGTATCATCCATACTGGAATTCCCCTTGCACAGGAGGCGCCTATCTCATTTGTGCGGGGGCCATTCCACGCAGGCTACCTTGTTTCGTTGGCCTTGCCGCTTGCCCCAACCTACTGGCTCAAATTCCCGGGTGTTGAACGTAACGGTTGGTTGGAGCCACCAAACAAATGCTGAAGCAACAAATGCACGCTTGAAAGCTTCAAAGCTTGATGTTCGCCTCTATACATGCCAAACATTGGCTCGCAACAACTCGAGGCAGCCTGCCGCCCCATACTGGCGTTGCGGAGCATCACCTGACGCTCACTCGCGCGGTGACTCGAACAGGGATCCTTGCATTATACGCCTGAACATTGTCTTGCAAATGGAGGTTTCCCTTTATTTTGGTGGAAAAAGCATGTTGGCAAAATGTATCTTTTAGGGAGTCCTGCAATCGGTCCAAAGGAAACCAAAGGACACCAAAATCAGTGGCTACCTGTCTTTTTTGATCATCATTTAGAGACACCGAGCCACCCCGATGGTGACCGTGGTTGTCGCAGCAACCCAACGCACGCGAGAGATTCTGAACCCACACGTTATCGGCGTTGAACGCCAGGAGACGGTGTGCAACACACATAATTATTCTCATTACATACGTGTATCGTGGTCACATTGCTTAAAACCTGTCTCACGCAACCAACTCTATGTTAGCATCCAGTCGCACGCGTTCAAGTGAATCAGGTCAGCCACCCGTGCCTCCGTCACATCAAGGGGCTCCTTGCTAACAATGGAGTTGAAGCCTGACACGGGCAGTGCAGCTCGAATGCTACGACCACTCTACAAACCACCACTGGCTCACATTTGCTTGGTAGAACATTCTCAAGTGAAGCTGAAGAAATTGTTGCATAGGCAACATGTGTAGCTGTGTGCACCGGTATGAAGCAAACACCATGGTTTGTACCTCGCTATCTGCTGGTCGGATGACGGCCATTGCTCACCCAGTGGTTCCATGAGGCTCAAGACTTCCTGGGTCGTTGTTACAGTGGACGGACGAAATCCATTTCGCACCAAGTTGAACCACACCAAACAATTATTTGCTGGTATTTACAGGGGAATCATCAGAAACCAGGCTTTCTTAGGTGGTGCAGGATTTCGTCCATCCACAGTATGACTAGGAGCACCAATGTGACTTGAGCTCAACTGACACATGCAATGTTCTATCCAAGCGTGCTCCAAGCAAGGCTCAATGCTCCAAGTGCCTCAAGCTCTGCGCAGTCTCCAAACGACAAAAGGTCGCAGGCAGGCCGACTTGCTTATTGATCTACGTCTTGATTATCAGACTGCAAGTGCTTTGATGCATCTAAAGGTTCGCCTGCAACTAAAAAAACAAACCATGTTTCCCCCATATTCCTGACGAAGTGGAAGTTGTCTTTTTTGCGGCTTTTTTTAAGACGCGGACCGCTCTGGGGCATGGGCTGTTCCGCTGCAGACTGTGCTCATTCGGACGCCAGCAGGTGGACGAGTTGATACGAGGCCTTGATTTCAGCTTCAAGGGCTCTCGGGGGCTTGGCGAATCTGAGTGGTACGTGGCCAATGAGCCATAGTAAAAATCTGGCATTCAAGGGGTCTACGCCTTGGGCGAAGCTTGGCTCAATGAAACAGCCTAGCGTATAAATAGACCGGCTGATCTAAAGGGTCTATAATTTTTCAGCACCATGTGAATAATTGCGAGAGTGGCCGCGTTTACTTCTTCTTGGGACTCCACTATTCTTTGTCTACACAGGTGCTGATTGTGATTCAGATGGGTGTCGGCATAGGACATGTGGCATAGACACCTGGCTTTGGGAACAAACAAACATGTCTGCAAATATTCTTCATGCATGATAATAATAATAACAACAATAATAATAATAATAATAATAATAATAATAATAATAATAATAGTAATAATAATAATAATAATAATAATAAACGCGTGCCCGTTCCACATGAGGTGATCAAAGATTGGCCCAAAACAATACTCTTGGCCATGGGGCGTGAGCTGGTCAAAGGCAACCAGCCATGGGCCACTGGGCCCTCGGCTTTGCGGCTGAACAGGGCCGAAAAAGGAGCTCCTTCTTGGGTGCCTCGCAACGCGGGGGCGGAAAACCGCCACCTCAATGCGAGCGTAACACTCGCGTATGGAAACTGCCCTCAGATCCCCTGCCAACAGTTTGACTTTAGTGGGTTAAATGGAAACCACCACTAAACACTCAAAGGCTAAAAAGCTAAGGGGATGGAGCCACCAAGGAAACTGATCTCACCATGAGCAGATGGACCCAACCACGGGGAAGGCCGCCAGTAAGTTGACATCTTCGGGCAGAGGATATCCCAGCCCAAAGTGAACAACGGCCTGATGGCTCTGCTTCTCACGTATCGCTTCCTGGCGATTGGCCTATGACTCCACATCTCTGTTTGTGGGTCAGACTTCATGTCACATCAAGGAAGGAGATACGCAGAATGAGTAACAAGGATGTCCTTCCCGCTTTAAGTGAAAGCAAAGAGAAGTTTAGCTGCTCATGTTGCTGGCTTGTGGCCACACGCGGCAGCCGCCAATCACCAACTGTTGGAAGCAAATGATGACCGAGAAACCTCTGGCCACTGTTTCATGTTCACAAAGCTCGGGTTCCGCTCCGAAGCATTTGGTTGCTTCAGTCTGGAGGCATCTTTCTCTTGTAAATTTCACGACTCAGAACTGCAATTCTAAGCGCCTCCCGGAGATTTTTACAGCGGAACTCGGGAAACAAAAGAGACCACTCTTGTTCTACTGCCCTGCACTAGAACAGGGAACCCATTTTGGGGTCCATTAGCTGGAAACTCACCCAAGCGTGCTTCCATTTTAGGGATCCCCCCCAAAAAAAAAGGTAGTTTGTCATTTGGTTTCCCTTTAAAACCACCCAGGGGTACCCTCACAAAAAAACAAATCAGACCCACCCAACGACTGGGCTAAAAGTCCCCAGCTCACCCAACCCCACTGGACGGGGCTCCGACATACCGCTCCCGTGCAGTGAGCGGGGCGGCTCCCGACTGGGGAGCCTCTGAACCTGACATCGATTCCTCTCAGGGACCAAGTGAGAGAAATGTTTGTCCACAAACGCTTTGGGAATCGGTCAACGGTTGGTAACCCAAGCTTAATAATTAGGAATTAGGGCTGGGCACCCAATGCTCGTTGCGGTTCTAGCGATTAGCAGTACAAAGCAGGGGGTCTGGCCTAAATGGAAACTGATAGGCCCCCCGCAATGGACCCCAAACAAAAAACCACGTTTCCCTCCAATTGTTGGTTTGGGTCAATGGCTGACGGTTTGGAGGGAAGGGGTGGTTTGGACGTTCAGGGGTACCTTCCCCATTTGATTTGTAAAGATGGGGTCCATACCCGCAAACCACCCATCCAAACCAACTAACTAGGTTGACGTTGGAAGGGGAGCAAACAAATTAAATGATTTTTAGCAGTTCAGTAGGGATTTCAACCACTAAACCACAATAAGCAAAAATGCAAAATGTTTCCCAACAACAACCATGCTAACCCGAAAAAAATCAGCCTCCCTCCGGATTGGGTCCCACGAACACTTGTCCTTTTGACAAATCACGTCTCATAGGCCACACCGGGCATCCCCTGACTGGCGCCGAATGTCTGTCGCATATTGCGTGAGAGATGTGTTCATGACTAAGGATTTTCCTGGGATTACACCCTAGGGAAATGACCCTAAACAGTCCCAAACAAACCAACATCATCAGCTTGTGTCTGGAAATAGGCTAAAATGGGGTGATTCCCCAAAAACCGTGATCCCAGGGTGTAATAGGAAAGCCCGTAGGTCATTGAACTAAATTCAGTCGCTAAAATGTCGCCATACGATAGCGAGGGCGATATGGCCGGCGCAACTGCAGAATGCCCAGGTGCCATGTGGTATGTTGTTCTCGGATCCGTCGCTGAACATTCAAGCCATTCATGTAAATCAGGACTTTTTCTTGAACTTGCCCCTTAAAACTCCAAGCCCTGGGGAAGTTAATCTTTTACAGACATATAGCCCATGTTACCCAAAAAGTTGAAAGGTGTTTTTAAGAGGTAAGTTTCTTGAAAGACTGGAAGCGCAACGAGGGCTTTGGCAAAAAACGCCTCCAGTTCAGCCACCCAACACTTCTTGCCGGGCCTTCCGCAGCCCCGCCCAAGCCACCAGATGGCAGCGACGTCTCTTTGGGCATCGTCATCTGCGAGTGCAGTGCCCAGTCATTTCAGGCTGCTTTTTGAGGCTACCCTCAACAGGTTGGTTTAAATCCAGGGGTGCTTGCACGTACCACTTTTGCATATCCCTTGGGCACATGAACCCAAAGGCCTGCTGATGTTGATCCCCCTCTCCCCAAACGGGGTATATACAACCCCTTATAAAGTGGGTTGGAAACCAGGGAAGCCTTAGATTAAAGGGCACAAAAAACAAACACCAGCCATAGGGTCCCTGTGACGAGCTTGACACATACCCCCATTTCTTGGTTCCAATGAAGCACTTTAGGGATGTCCAACGCAGGCATAGCTCCCTTTAGAATTTTAAAACCTCACGCCGAATACTTTGTCGGAAGTCACCCGAAACAACGGACTCCACAGCTAAGGTTTCTAATTACTGCATTATGTTGGTCAAGCTGCACCTTTGCGGGGAGCATCTAGCAAGTGGGACCTGAAGTGGTGGTTCTTGAGACTTGCTTGGAGGCTTATGATCTCAAATATTTGAATCAGGGCTAGGTTGACACAAAGGCGCGGTACACTTTATGAGTAACCCGGTTTTTGATGAACACCCTGAGACGCCAGAAGGCAATGTCATACCGGCAGCCCTACGAACACCTCATCTTTGGGCCGGTTGGCCTCCCTGAAACAACAAGACACCAAACAAGTTCCGTCGGCAAACGAACTCCTGCGACGCAGCTTCAACCGCGTCATGTAGTGCGCAGCCATCTACTTCCTTCCGGAGGCCTTGATCAAACAATTTCGCGGTCGCAGCAAACGCATACGCAGATGGTGTCTGTGTTTGTGTGTGTTGTAATTATGCAGCTGCTCAAGCATGTCACCTCATCCAGTTTCAGACGTGGGAATCATGATAAGCTCATCACATGTTGGCACCTCTCAGATTGTTTGCATTTGAACGCTGCCAAACCTGGGCAATCGGATTTCGCAAAATCAACTCGTGAAGCGTACCGGGGCGCATGAGTTTTCGAGTGCGCGTGCAATTCTGTGAAGACACCGGTCAGATCAACTTGTGCAAGTAGGAAGTCTCTTCTGGTTCCTTCCAGCAATGGACGCTTTTCCAAATAACTCCGTTTCGACAGCTTGGTTGACTTTTTGCAGCCCCGGGGTTTGGTCGCCTCTGATATAGTTGGGCAACAACCCCTTTTCGCAGAAAACACAAATAAAACTGTACTTTCGGACCACTTGGGTTGTCTAAATTTGGAGGATACCCTTCCGCACTGTTCAAAGGACACCAAACAAAACAAAGCACCGCCTTTGCCAACACCCCCCCCCCCGAACAACAACTGTTTTTCCAATGTCCAAAGTTTCAAGGGTTCCGTTTCTATCGCATACCCAGCTGAATTTGACACCAGTTTCACATCTGCTTCCCCGCACCTCTCGGCTGTCTGATGGCCTCCCCTGGCCCTGGCGGTGATCTCCGCTTCCAAATTTGCCAAGTCTGGACTGCCAGCTCTGCCAGTTGAGTGGTCGAGATGGTTCAGCTTCCGGTGAAAAAGTGGCTCAAACCAAGCCAGGGGCCAAAGGAAACTTGCAAGGTTGACACCTTGCAAAGCCTGAAAGGCTCAGCTAAGGCCCACCTGTTGGCCTATTTTCAAACAAAGACTAGGTGGGCAACTTGCCATAAGGTCCCTAGCGGACCCACACCTTGTGAGTATTCGTGAGTGTTCATCACTTTTTCTTGGCCCTATGCACTGCGCACTTATGCATCTCGGGATGTTCATGATTTCATTCGGGAATCTTTGGTGGACATAGATGCGTTCTCTCTTTTTCGGGGACTCCGGTTCTCCTGGTGGTTTCCCTTCAAAACTCAACAAACACCACGAGGCACCCTCCAAAAGAGGAACCGGGTGCGCCGGATTTCCGCGCGCCTGTCGCCGGGGAGTGCTGCACCTCGGAGTGGTCCAGGCGTATGCCTTGGGCATGTCCTGACCTCAGACTCGCAAGCACAGCCCATCTGAGTTTTTCCATGTTTAAACCTTTGGGAAATGACCCAGTTCAAAACAACACGGTTTTATCCGGACATGTGCCATGGGGTCAATACCCAGTGGGTGTATTCCAGGGTGTAATACAAAAACCCTTAGAGCCTTTTGATTTTCCAACGGGCACCCGGGGAAACCGCTATGCGTGCAAGCAAAATGCCCCCGTGAGAACTACTCGCTGACTGTTGGGTGAAAACTGGCACCACGTGAAAACTACCCCTTGAAATGGTCATTTGAAGGGAAACAACTTAGTTCCCTTTAAATTACTATTTCAAGGGGTAGTTCTCACTTGCAACCAGGTTTTTGATAGTAGCCCTTTTCCCCAAATAATATTCAACATGTCAACTTGAAGAACCCCGAAGAAACTTGCTCGTGCGATAGGTAGGGAATTCGCGAGTCGTTGTGTTGCGAATGAACAATTTGGAGGATCTTTAAATAAAGGAAACCAGGACATGCTTTACAGGAGTCATTCCTCATTCCCTGCTGAGAACCAGCGAGAAAATATTCAGATGGAACAGCTTGGTACCGAGGCCCACGCACCTTGTCTTCCCAAAATGTGTTGTTTGATGATGTGTGGGGTCCAAATAAAAAGCAGAAGACAGGCTTCCCACAGTTTGTCTTTCAACATTACCTCAGCCACTTGGGTCAACACCAATTGATGTTCCATGAACAGTCACTAGAAAGTACAGGAACCTATGGTAAACGTCAGATACACCGGGTCGGCCGTCAAATCCAAGGCTCGGATATGAAGTTGTCAGGTTCAGAGGCTTCAAGTTGGGCCCGTTGGCTAAAAAAATGATCGGCTCACTACTTCTCCCCTACCAACACACACACACAGTTGACAGGTGTTGGTCAACTAGGTCCTCCAGATTTGAGAGGTTAGAATCAGGGTACCAACTTTTTTTCTGTAGTCTATTTTAGTAGGGGAACCCTCCCCCAAAAAAGAAACGGCAAAAGGGCACTACTGGGGGACCTAGTCAAGATTTATTGAACCATAGACCTTTCATCCATGGCCATGTGGAGCCTAGCCAGTGCCAAGATGCTCTCCGCAGGCGGCAAACCTCGAGCCGAGAACACAGGGGGCCAACGATGCCACTGCGCCGAATCCTAAGTTGGAACACAACTCACCCTGGACCCCTCCTTTGAAGACAGCATGGGAATCCCAATGTTTGGATCGATACCCTGCACGGCAGCGAGCTTTTGAATCAATGGATGGTGAATGGTCTCACCCAACATCCAATCGAAATTTGTGCCTGGCCGTAGGCCGTGGGCCAGTGTTACAACTGGGGGGTGCTTTGAACGCGAACTTCAGCCGACCTACAAGCAGAATGCCAGTTGGCATTCAGCCCTCTGCATTGTAGCAATAGCAAGAGGTCAAGCTTCCCTCGGCCAGTCATTTAAGATGCTTGCCAAACATTTCAGATGCCTGCCAAACAAGCCTCTTAGCGAGATGAGATCAAGATGGCCGATTGGTCGAAGGGTGCAAGATTGGCCACTCAACTAACAAGACAAGATGGGTCTGCCCTTTTTGATACCCCATTTTGGGCGATTGTGGTTTTCAAGGGACGCCAAATGGAAAATCCCCATATCTTGGGAGGACTGTCACGCCATGGCCGTGGCACCCAGACATTTGGAGGCACCTGGGGTGCAGGCCTAAAGCCGGCACCTCCTCTCGCCTCGCGGAAGGGCGAGGTGCAGGTTGTCGGGGGGGGACCAATCCTCCCAAACAATCATGACAAGAAGACGGGACATGTTTTGCTGATATCTTGGTTGCAAGTTGTTCTGATATCTTGGTTGCTGCAAGTTGTCCCCCTCAACCAGCTTAACTTATGTGTCCAATGCGGAAAATCGAGCCACGGTTTTCCAGAAAGTTCAAGTCGAAAGCTCCAACCACAGCCATAAAATCATGGAAATGGACAGCGGCATTCTGCAAAGGAACGAATTTGTCTTACAAAACACGGCATGGTCGGCAATCATGATTGGAGGGGAAATACCTGAGGGGCTTATCGGGGCACTGTTACACCAAAAACCTTAGCATGGGAGAATGTTTACTTTGAAAAGCCCGTCGCATTCTGATCCGAAGGTTTCAATCCTGAATTGTCAGCACAGGTGGCCCAACTGGTCCAACTGACAGACTCAAGCTTCCCTCACATGAGCCGCGCCCAAAACTCCCGGAAGCTTTCGGGACACGAAGCCCAGCACAGCAGCTGCTGGTTTCTTGCTGAAGCTTTGTTTGGACTCGTGAGACAGCAGCGGGATTCCACCTGCTTCCAACACGATACTCAGGCTGATGAAGCGCCTCACAAGTCCTCTGCCATCAACAAATTTTCAACTTTCAGCTTCCATGCAATGAACTTGGAAACCTTGGCAAATCAGGCCGTCACGTGCGGTGACCGGGATTGTGCCCTTGGCATTCGCAACTTCTCTCCATGTACGCATGTGTTTTTTTCTTTCGGGCGCGCCACGGCTTTTTGTGGCACACGGCTCTCGCTGAGGACAGATCAGGGATGTCTTGTGCATTTAGCATTTCTTGCACATCTTGCTGGTGCGATAGGCAGGGAATGAGCAATGGAATAACCCTTATACACTATCCCTTGTGGGTTCCTGTAATGGGAGCCCTGGGTTCATTCCCACCTTTCTTAGTGAGCACCAGCAAGGAATGTGTCACCCAGGCTTGGTTTGCTTTTGAAACGTCTACATCTACCAAATAGGTTTCGCAAGGAATTTGGTTTATGATTGGTATATTCTAAGGCTTAGTCTTGTTATACGGAATTTGATTTGTATTTGGTATGTTCTAAGGTTTATTTTTGGTGATTAAGGTTTTTCACGATTTAGGGCTTAGGAAGTAGGAGTTATATATTTATTTTACAGCGGTTCTCCAAGCCTCGACACCTTCGTTTGTACAGGCAGGTCATGCAGCGTGGTCGGCTGAAGGCACTCACGGCCAAGAAGCTGCGGCAACCCGCTGAGGTCACGCCCAGAGGTGAGGTCAACATAACACACAAGTAGATTCGGGTGTGTCTTCTTTTAGCCCCCCATTCAAAAAAACAATGAATAAATAAATAAATAAATAAATAAATAAATAAATAAATACATACATAAATAAATAAATAAATAAATAAATAAATGCGGACTTTCTGTTGGTGTCCCTTGAACATCGCCAGACAAGGGGCACCCTCAAAAAAAGACAGACCAACTGTCTTGCCATGCAACAGGTTGTCCTGATTACCTAAGCTATTGCCGTCAGGCGGCATCCAAAGATGCAAAGGCTCACCAAAAGGCGTGACATTCATCTCACCACCAACGTTCATAGTGCAGCTTCAAGGATATGGGTTCCAACTGCTTCACCAGCTCATCTGTCATGGCTGGAGGGCCACACAGGAATATCTCGGCCGAGTTGACGTCCTCCACATGCTCCAAGATGTGTTGGCCCGTCAGCCGTCCCCGCGCGCCTTCCCAGTCTGCATTCCGTGTGACGCGCAGCTCCAGATGCATCTGGGGATGTCTGTCACGCAGAAGCTCCTGTGCAGCAGTTTCGATGCCGTGTTTCCACGAACGACACACTCCCTGTTGTCCAGGGCAAAGAGTGCCACTGAACAACTGGCAACGCATGTGTTGTACTGCCTCATTCATGCAATGAACTCTCATTAATCTTAGCTTCGGTCAAGTGACCTTGTTATGCATCTCTGCAACAAAAACAACACACCTGTCTTGAACCTTGTATCCCCTGCTTCAGGGCCTTCGACACCCGCCCCCTCGCTCGTCGCCCCCGTCGCCCCTCTGTCCAGCTCAGCTTGGTAGGCCAACTCTTTTTCCTCAGAGGCGGAGTAGAGCAAAGCCACTCGCAGCTTGGTGTGCAGCAAGGTTTCCTTGCCACAAGCCCTGTCAGATCCCAACTGATGCTCAGGGAAACCCAAACCCAGCACAGGAGCTTCCCTTTGGGGAAAGGGACCTTAAAGTTTGGCTTTCCGGTGAAATTGTAGGGGAGCACTAGACAGGTTCATCTTGCTTTCCTGAAAGGGTGGTTGCTTTGGTTACCTACAGGTGAATGGGCGTTGTAACGTCCAAAAAAAGACTCCAAGCTTGTCTAGGGCCCAATTTTAATCCATTTTTCTGACGCCATGTTTGGCTCTCCTGCACCATGGAGAAGATCGGGTTGATGCCTTAGCTGAGTCGTGGAACAAATGGGGGGGGGCCTTCAGTTTGTTGGGATTAGACAGCCAAATTGTACGATACCCCAACAAAAAGCACTACCCCCGGCAAAAATGGTGGAACGCGGCTGTATGTCACATCAACAAAGGGTAGCAGTTTGTGGTAGCGGAAACCACCGACAATTGACCAAAGAACACAAAGGCGTACAGAAGGACTGAGCCACCGATCCCGCCGGCGATAAAGACCAACTGCTGCAAGTGGGAGCCGTACTGCTTTGGGTCGAAGAAGAAGCTGCCGCCAGCTTTCCTCAGCCATAGCTGGAAATTGCAGGGGCCGTAAAATAATCAGCCGATCAAAATGGTCCACCTCGCTGAACAAGAATTGAGCATCCTCTTCTGGGCTATTCTCAGCTGCCCAGCTTTTTTTTTACCGGGTTCAAATGGACCCCCCCCCACAAAACCTAAACAACTAAAAACATAAGGGGATTGGCTGGGAACCACTAAGTCTTCTTTTCTATCAAGCGCAAAGAGAGTGCCAAAGAGTCATTGGGTCCTTGCAATCCCTCCCAAATAGCTGTTCCTGAAAAGCCTCTGGCTCCTGATGTGTATGGGCGAATGACCCAAATAATCCATCGCCTTTTGGCTACCCTTCGCACTAGTAAATGGGAAGGGTCGCACCTCACAATGTTGCTCCCTGTCCTGAAAATCACACAAGGTCGTCCAACATCTTTCCACCTATGAACTCCCAGTTGTCTGGAAAGTAGACCTTGGAACTCTTTTCTGGCTTGACTATTTCTAGCGCAAAGTCTAACTGGGGACAAACAACCAGGGTCTGAACCCAATACCAATTGTTTGTCCTTGTGGTTTGCTCAGTTCAAGGTTTCTCCCTTGCAACATTCATCCTTCTTGGCCTGAGGGTACCCTAAACATGATGTTTCATGAGTCTGCTTCCAAATAGGACACCTCGAAGAAAAAAGAAGAAGTTGTTTCCTTTCGGTCTCCCTGCAACCTACCCAGAAAAGGGATACGTTTCACAAGGAAAGCACAAGGGAAGCACCCTTTGTTGCCCTTTTTCGAGGCCGGCCCATATGGGTGTCCTTTTTTTAAGGGGGTCCCCTTTTGCTTGGTTTAACAGGGAAACCGAAAGGAACCAACCAGTCCCCATTTTAAGACACCCCCATAGCTTTACAACCCTTGGTATGGTTGCAAAGAACTTTGTTTCTGGCAGCCCCCTCCCAAAAAACAACAGAACCAAGAAACTAAAAAAACAACAACATACAGCAACCAACATGCCAGGAACAGGGAAGATGTGGCTGTGGGTCAAAACCAATGGCACCATTTTGGGGTAGGTGCACCAACCATTTTAGTCTATTTTAGTGGTTGGATTCGGATGTTCACTGGGGGTACGGATGGCCATATGAGCTCTCATATCTTTGGTTGGGGATCAACAGCTGTTTGGAAATCGGCTCGCACGGGGGTGTGTGCAAGCTTAAGGCCCCTTATCCATAGGTCCTGTCTGCCTTTTTGTCTGCCAGGCATCGGATAAGTGCCATGAGGGCAGGCAATGCTCCTAGAAGTTTGGGAAAACTGGTTGAACATATGTTTGAAGACCTCAGCTTCCTCCGGCCAGGCGTCAGCTTCACCCACTTCCCCGGCTGCGCCTTGTCGTGGCACCAGGCGGCCGGGGGGTGGCGCGACGCCTTCACTGCCAGGCGCAGCGTGGGAAGCTCCGCCGGCACGGAGGACATGGAGTAGCCCCCCACCCGGTCGACCCCGTCCTGGCCGTTTCCGGTTGGAAAACGCATATGGATCGAGACACGTTTCGTCTTTTTGAGAGTACACCGTACCTGAGCCCCGAAAGGAAAGCACATATTTTTCCCCACATAGCTGAAAGCTATAGGCGTTCTAACTTTTGATAAAAAAAAGGGGAAAGTGATTTGCTAGATTTTTCGACTGGGTGCTAGGGGGAGGCGCTGGTGACAGTGCGGGGGCATGTTGTTGCAAAACTGACGGCAGGGTGCCAGGGCACGCAGCTTGGGTGCTGGTGCAGGTGCTGTTTTGGGGTGGGGGGCCTGGTGACAAGCGCGGGCTCGTGTTTGCGAGCCGGGGTTTCGGGGGGCACGCAGTTTGGGGTGCTGGCGCAGTCTGTCACGGGGGCCTGGTGACATCACGGGGGCATTTTTGATGGATGGTGCTGGGGGGCATGCAGTTTGAGGTGCTGTTTTTGGGTTGCTGTTTCAGGAGCTGGTGACTGTGAGGGCGCATGTTTGCGAGATTGACGTCCGGGTGCTTTAGGGGTACTACTTGTGGCGCTCTTCGGGGGGTGCTGTTAGAGGTGCTGCTGTGCAATCATTGGCCTGGTCTTTCGCTATCTGGGGTCTATGCTAGTGTTAGGGTGCGGGGGTAGGGGGACGTGTCACAAGGAAATTGCTCAATTCTGTCTCCAGAGTTCGTCTTTCCAGAAAGAGGAGCAAGCCTGCTGAACTGCGCGCCACAGACGTTCGGCCCCAAAAAAAGGTCACGCAGCGGCACTGTCAAGGTCACCGCTTGGATGCGCCACGCGAGGAATGATCAAACAAAGTGACAACCAAACAAATGCACTGCGTTTGGCCAAATGCAGGGGCTAGAGGGTTGGACAGCCGGGAGGCACTTCAGCAAAAAGGTGTCTAGGTTCTTATTTGGCCGGGATGTCATCCCGGAACAACCAAATCCGCCGACATTGCTCGGCGTGTCGGATACTTACTAGAGGATAGAGGATAACCCCCCCCCGCCCGATGTCTATTACGTAGGTTTTTTGGGGGGGGGGGGGGGGGGGGGGGGGGGGGGGGGGTCCCCCACGTACCGCGCGGCAATTTGATGACGTTCCACTAAACGTAGTCTTCGGGGAGCCGGTGTCGCAAAACAGGGGCCAGGCTCGTTCCCCCACGTACCGCAGCGGCAATTTGATGACGTTCTTACTATTACACTTTTACATACATACATATTACATACATTCATACATACATACATACATACATACATACATACATACATACATACATACATACATACATACATACATACATACATACATACATACATACATACATACATACATACATACATACATACATACATACATACATACATACATACATACATACATACATACATACATACATACATACATACATACATACATACATACATACATACATACATACATACATACATACATACATACATACATACATACATACATACATACATACATACATACATACATACATACATACATACATACATACATTAAATATACATACATACATACATACATACATACATACATACATACATACATACATACATACATACATACATACATACATACATACATACATTACATACATACATACATACATTACATACATACATACATACATACATACATACATACATACATACATTACATTACATTACATTACATTACATACATACATACATACATACATACATACATACATACATACATACATACATACATACATACATACATACATTCATTACTTACATACATACATACATACATACATACATACATACATACATACATACATACATACATACATACATACATACATACATACATACATACATACATACATACATACATACATACATACATACATACATACATACATACATACATAAATACATACAGATACATACATACATACATACATACATACATACATACATACATACATACATACATACATACATACATACATACATACATACATACATACATACATACATGCATGCATGCATACATACATACATACATACATAGATTCATACATACATACATACATACATACATACATACATACATACATACATACATACATACATACATACATACATACATACATACATACATACATACATACATACATACATACATACATACATACATACATACATACATACATACATACATACATACATACATACATACATACATTACATACATATACATACATACATACATACATACATACATACATACATACATACATACATACATACATACATACATACATTACATACATACATACATACATACATACATACATACATACATACATACATACATACATACATACATACATACATACATACATACATACATACATACATACATACATACATACATACATACATACATACATACATACATACATACATACATACATACATACATACATACATACATACATACATACATACATACATACATACATACATACATACATACATACATACATACATACATACATACATACATACATACATACATACATACATACATACATACATACATACATACATACATACATACATACATACATACATACATACATACATACATACATACATACATACATACATACATACATACATACATACATACATACATACATACATACATACATAAATTAACATACATACATACATACATACATACATACATACATACATACATACATACATACATACATACATACATACATTACATTACATTACATTACATTTACATTACATTACATTACATTACATACATACATACATACATACATACATACATACATACATACATACATACATACATACATACATACATACATACATACATACATACATACATACATACATACATACATACATACATACATACATACATACATACATACATACATACATACATACATACATACATACATATGTACATGCATGCATACATACGAGAGAGGGAGAGTGGGGAGAGAGAGGCTTGGGGGGATGGGGAGGATGGGAGCAGAGGGAGGGAGAGAGGACGACAGAACACACAAGGGAGACAAGGAAGAGAGGAAGACGGAGAAAAGGGAGAGGACAATGTCGGCGGACTGAGCCGGAGGCTCTAAAGTATTTTTGAACAAGCTTATATTCGGCCTGCGCTTGACTGGAAAACGACCTACAACTTTCATCTCCCTCCTGCTTCATCCGAAGTCCAAGCTGTGCCCCTGCCAAAAGTTTTACTTTCAGTGGCTTGCATGGAGACTACCACGAAACTGACAACCACCAACAAGCTCAGGAACTGGATGGCCGGGAACCAAGAAAACAGTTGACCCCCCAGCCTGGTCGATAAAGAAGTCGACCCAATTGCCTGCTTTGAAGCGAAGCCCCGGGGCGTGCAGCGTCAGCTCCTTGATACTTGGCGTCAGTTGTCTGACCTGGCCCGGGCGACAGCGGTCCGAAGCCGTTAAAAGAGCAAGGAATGTCCGAGTCCCCACTTCCTTGAACTTCCTTGAAACCTTCAAACCTCCCTGGAGAGCTGCCTCACCCCAAAGCCCCAAAGCTGGTGAGAAAACATCAGCAAGGTGTGATGGACTGCCGCCTCAGGGCTCATGTACATCAATAGCCAGCCTCAAAATTGCAAAACCCGTACACTCACGGCTGGCAGGCGAACTGGCTGAGGGTTGCGCAAGAAAGCCAGGGTTAATCATCGGAGTCCCCAAAGCCACATGGATCACGGTCTTGCTAAAGTTCCTGAAGGTCAAAAAGGAAACGAACCAAGTAACCAACACACATGAATGTACAGCGTAAAACGCTAGAAAACGACAAACTGCACTAAAGCAAACAAGACCAAACACACAAACACAAAGTCACAAAGCGACACAATGACCTTACACCACCACCACCACCACCGCCACCACCACCACCACCACCACCAGCAGCAGCAGCAGCAGCAGCACCACCGGCTGCACCACCACCAGCACCACCGCCAGCACAACATGAATAGTAACGGCAACACCAATAGTAACGGCAACGGCAACAAAGACAAGAACAAGAACAAGAACAAAAACAACAACAGCAACAACGACACAACGACGACAACGACGACGACCACAACCACAACCACAACCACAACCACAACCACAACAACCACAACAACAACAACAACAACAACAACAACAACAACAACAACAACAACAACAACAACAACAACAACAACGGCTGCAGCTGCAGCAGCAGCAGCAGCAGCAGCAGCAGCAGCAGCAGCAGCAGCAGCAGCAGCAGCAGCAGCAGCAGCAGCAGCAGCAACAGCAACAGCAACAGCAACAGCAACAGCAACAGCAACAGCAACAGCAACAGCCAAAACGACAACGACAACGACAACGCCAACCACAACCACAACCACAACAACCAACAACAACAACAACAACAACAACAACAACAACAACAACAACAACAACAACAACAACAACAGCAACAACAACAACAACACCAACAACAACAGCAGCAGCAGCAGCAGCAACAACAACAACAACAACGACAACGACAACGACAACGACAACAACAACGACAACAACAACGACGACAACGACAACGACAGCGACAGAGACAGCGACAGCGACAACAGCGGCAACAACGACAACAACGACAAACAACGACGACGACGACGACGACGACGACGACGACGACGACGACGACGACCACAGCAACAACAACAACAACAACAACAACAACAACAACAACAACAACAACAACAACAACAACAACAACGACAACGACAACGACAACGACAACGACAACGACAACGACAACGACAACGACAACGACAACGACAACGACAACGACAACGACAACGACGACAGCGACAGCGACAACGACAACAACAACGGCAACGACAACAGCGATAACAACGGCAACGGCAACAACAACACAAACACGAGCACAAACAAGAACAAAAAAAACAAGAACAATAACAAGAGCAACAACAACCACAGCAACAACCATAAACACAACCACAACCACAACCACAACCACAACCACAACCACAACAACAACAACAACAACAACAACCAACCAACCAACCAACCAACCAACCAACCAACCAACCAACCAACCAACCAACCAACCAACCAACCAACCAACCAACCAACCAACCAACCAACCAACCAACCGACCATTCAACCAACCAGCAAGCCAGCCAACGAACCAACCAAAAACAACAAACAAACAAACAAACAAACAACCAAGCAAGCAACCAAACAAACAACAACAGCAGCATCAAAAGCAGAGCATTTGTTCGCCAGAAGCATGGTCGTTGCTTCTGGGCCCTCTTTGTTGACGGATGAAGTCTTGCATCTTGTGGCTCATGTCACAACTTATGTCCCGGAGTGCCTTCGTGATCTCGGCCGAAACCAACAGCTCCTCAAGGGGCCATCGGCAGCCATAGTTTTCCGCGGAAACAACTGGTGTCATATGCGAGGACAAAACCAGAACAAAGCAAGGCCTATGGTTTGCTGAGTCGGCAAAGTGACTTTCCATGACAATCTACACAGCAGCCAACCAACCATTTTCCAGACTGAGCTTTTCTTTTGGTTCCGGAGATGGCCTTTGGTTGGGGAAGCTCAGCTTGCCTGATAACAACTCTTTGAAGTTGTGCCAAGTGAGGCCAGCGCGCAGCCAACAGCATCTCTTTTTGGATGAGCCAACAGAGCAAAGACACAAAACAACCATACACACAGTTCACTCATAGACCGCAAACCCCTCCTCGCGAGGCTCGCTCGCGGTGCGGCTCAAATGGTCTGGTCTCGTGTGAAAGCGACGCACATGGCGAAGCGCGCGAAAGCGCTGCATTGAAGGATTGGCAATTGGTTGCTTCGTTTGGCCCCATTTTTTTACCATTGTCAAAGTCTCTAAGTGATAGGTTCAAGCGAAACACCCCCGGTTGCTGACTTTGGTAACCCCGAAACAGTCAGACTGATGACCCCAGTTTGATTCGACGCACAAAATCACCATTAAGCGTTCCGACAGGTCCTGCTTAGACTATCCACAACAACCACACATCCAGTCCTTGTGGAACTCCTTGCAAATGACTCAAGGCTCTGCCTAGCTCCTATCTCTTGGCCAAAGGTACTGGTTGCAAATGCTCACTCCGTGGTTGTAGCATATATGGCTGTGGGTCAAAACTAGGTACCCTGGTAAGTGGAAACATGGCCAAGACCTGCGGTCCCCCGGTGGCTAATTTTGACCCATACCCATATCAGTGGTGAGGTGAATTGGTTGGGTGGGGGGGTGTGATGGGATAATGTGGCTGCATCTGGAGCCATACCCCGGATCCAGGAGATCCCCTAGCGCAGATTTGTTCCCTAGAGAACTCGACAAGGGAGATGATGATACAGACCTGAGATTCACACCTGTATGATGTTTTGTATCTGTAATCATGGATCCGGATGACATGGATGATCATCTTTCACACCCTACGTGATGGATACCGAATCATGCAGATCCATGTTGTTGTGTAAATAGCATGTACAAGCATTCAAGTCTATCTCTCAGACTCTCGCCTGTCCATGTCCAATGGAAGCCAACCCCAAAAAGGGTACCCACACAAAAAGACAAATGCATATGGCCATGGGTTAAAACCCAAATCGTACCCCCAGTGAACATCCCAATCCAACCACTAAATTAGATTCTAAAATGGGTGGTGCACCTATCCCAGAATGGGATCCCATTGGTTTTGACCCACGGCCATATGGTTTCCTCTCCAATGATTAAACTTGGAATGCCTAGTGCTTCACCTCACGCTTTCGGCCAGCGCTCCCCAGGTGTCCGGTGACCAAAAAAAACCGCACCTCGTCTCTCGTTTTGAACGGGACCGGGTCCCAAACCAGGGACAAAAAAGGGGGCACTGTGGGCGAAGTGTGCTGGGCTTCCCCAAACGGACGGAAAGCTCTGAGAAAATGGCTTCAACTAACATGAGATCAAAGAGTGTATTTGGCTCCGAGAAAATTGCAAAAATCGCTGTAACATGAAAATCGCTCTGGGAGTCTTCGGCCATGGCTTCAACGCCAATGCCAGGAGCATATCAAACTGATCAGCCTTTACATCTGAGTCATACTCAAAAGCTGGCATTGAAATGGTCGACTCAGAACCAAAGAATGAAACAGGCTGCAGCCATTTATAGATCGGACTATACCTTGCTAACCTTCATCCACCCGTCGGGCTTTGAGCAGGTGGCTCGTTTAGCCAAGGCTTCTCTCAAAAACCACGCGACATGTTGCTCCTGCCTGGGCCGCCTTGACCTAAGCCCAGGGCGAAAAGGGGCTGCGCCGAAGGATTTCGCATGGCAAAGCAGGCACCCGAGCTTCCAAAAGGAAGGGAACAAATTGCACACTACTTCTTGTTGTGACCCGAAAGCCGACGTTGTGGCGCACGTTTCGATGACTCTCTGACTCACTTTCGCATCGAGAGGAACACTACCACCGGATTGGCAGACTCCCTATAGCTATCTAAGTTGCATTGTCTAGAGGAAGGCAAGCTCGAAAAGCCTGACTTGATTTTTCAACAGCCTGGGCGTGCCATTCAGGACCTACCTGCTTTTCCGACCTGCTTCAAAACGAGGCTAGTAGCCGCAAAGTCTTCAGCTTGGGCAATTGGTAGCTTCTGATTGGAAGCGACTGATGTCAACGACTCCCAAAGGACCTTGGGACTGAGATGATAAGCCGAGCGCAGTTCGTTCCCGCTATATCTCATTTCTCGCCGCTCGGGGCGAGCACAACTCAAGTGCTGCATAGAACTTGCACAAAAAACATGAGCTACCAAGCTGCTGAACTACCAACAGCTATGAGTTTGCTGAACCCGACCGGAGTTGCCACAGAATCAGTTGACTGCCCTCACGGGAACATTGGTTGGCAGCCTGGGGAAACGGAAGGACCGCCCTGGTTGGACGACTTTCTGCCGGTTCGAACGGACCTCACAAGGGTTTGGCGCTCTTTGATTGGGGTTGCAACGCACTGGCAAGGAGTGCTTGTATTGCCTTGTGGCAAAAAGATGGCTCTTGATGCTTCCAGATTGATTCTGCATTGTTCTAGATTCTACGAGTAGCTAGGGGTTGATTCCCCATTCTTTTCCACCATGGTTCCTCTCGGAAAACAGTTGTTTCCCCCCAGTGTTTGAGGGTTTCCTGCCAAGAAGGATCCCGGAAAGCATGGGGAAGCTTCCCCTAACGTATCTGAGCAAAGTTCCACCCAAGACCTTTGGTCATCGAACAACTTGGAGCAATGGTCAACATACACCTGGGGAAGGGATTGCCCGCTCTCCCTGTGACCTTCATAGGCACCCTATTGGCCTTGGTGCTGGCGAACACTAGCTGAGCCGGTTTCAGAATATTGGAGACCTCAAAAGCCAGACGGCACCCGGGTCCTAACCGTGGTGTGTGTGTGTGTGTTTTTTGGACATGGTGGAAGAAGCAGTCAAGTCCTGGTGGTCTGTTCGGCTAAGCATTGTGACAATGACTCCCAATGGCCAGTTCCTGGTCCGTTGCATTCCACTCGTCCCTCTGTGCTCCGGGCTCGGCATTGGCCCGAGCCTGTGCCTGCGCGTAGCTTGTGCATCTTTGGGGCGAAAAAAGAGGACTCTATACCACCCGCAAGAGGTATGTCTTAACGTGAGAACCGCTCAGTTTGAAAGAGGGTTTCTTGTTTGTGAGAAACCACCCACATCTTCTTTTGACCAAGCTGTCCTTCATTTTGAACCCCCCCCCCCGCCCCCGCCCCCGGCTGAAACGGTCTGACATCTAGCTACGAGAAACTCGTCGGACCTCGCCCTTGAGATAAAACCTGGCTAAACGTGGAAGATGCCTCGGCAGAAGTTGTCTGTGAATCCTGAGACCCGACCAAGCGCGGTTTGCCGCATCCAACCAAAGAACGCCCAAGGTCGGCAGCTGACACATTTGTCAGGGCACCCGTTCAACATTACTGAACGGGTCCTCTGCAGCATCCGAAAGGACCCCATTACTTAGAACGCATGGGCCGCCAAAATGCGGCACCTCCACCGGTCAAGCCCGGCCTCCCGCAGGCGCAGGGGCAGTTTGCCCTTAGGGGCCGCCAAGGCCTGGCAAAGTCGGCCAGGCCGTGCTACCATCCCAAAGGCAGCCGAAATCTTTTCCGATTTCTGAATGGTGATTATAGTTGGTTGTGTCTCTAACATGGGATGATGGAAAGTATGCGCACCATCTCCTTTAGACGGAAAAAAAAAGCGTGACCCTCCCCCGCCCCACTTTCCACATGAGTGCCCTAGCTCTGTTAGGCGTAACACCGCCCGCCTGAGCCAGGCTCCGAAGGGAAAATCACTTCGCGGTGGCTTGCTTGGGGCCGTCCCATATGGTGACCTGCGACAAAAAGCTGTCCTTGGGACCCATGGACCCATGGATATGATGTGATAGAGTCCAAACGCGCAGATTGCTGCCATGGCTTTTCATCGAAGGTCTGCATCCTGGAATCCTGGACTGCTCACCCCGAACAAAACCATTGCCAGTCAGTCTGAGGCTTGGAGAACCCGAGTTTGCTAGTGGCTATGATTTTTACTCGGGGACCCCTTGGCGTGGTCATCCTTCAGGCGGGCGTTGATATCCACCAACCATTTGGGAGCATGTGCTACCTGAATTTGCCACCCCAAAATGCAGCAATTTTGGGAATTGGTATGTTTTTGTGGAGTTGATGCCCGAAGCTCCCCTTTGGAGGCTAATTTGTTTGGGATTGTTTTAAGCGGAAATCAAAGGGAATCTGAGTCTTTTTGCGGAGTCCCTCAAACAACAAACCCATATCACTCCACATCACACCGACTTAGTCTCACGTGCTCTCCGATTCTTTTTGATCCTCAAGAATGACCCTAACCAAGCCACCCACATAATTTTAGGGTTTGCCTCACTCGCACGGCGCTCGACGTGCACATGGCAAAGCCGTGTGGCGCGTGTCCATCGAAGGTCACTACCGATGGGTCTGCTCAGGTCATTTGCTGAGCAGACGGGGCGCGAAGCCGTGAACTGTCAAATGGTGCTCACCGCGCAGTGACGAGTGCTGAGCGCATAAGGCACGTGGACAGCCCCGATTGGGGCGCACCTACCTTCGGGGCTGAAAGATCCAGCCCGCGGGCCTCTCCGAGGTCAAAAAAAGGACTGGCACCCCAAAATGTTTTTTTTTTTTTTTTTTTTTTTTCCGGTTTCCTTTTGGTTCCCCTTTGGAATCCAACCCCGCCTTTAACAAAAACTACCAGCACGGCCCAGGCGTCAAACCCCCAGAAGTTCTCCACCACGAAAAGCGCCGGCGCCCGCCTCGGTGAGCTGCCGCGAGACCAGGCCGGAGGGGCACCAGCTGGGCCCCAGCTCCGCCTGCCTCAGCGCTGCTGAGCGGTGCTGAGCATCGAGCGACTGGACGTCCAATGCGCCCCAAACGACGCATCCGTTGCGCGCATTCTTTTCCTAACATCGAAAACCTGAGGGTCGTTTGGTCGAGATGTGGCACCTGATCTGCAAAGGAAATTCATCCAACCATACAGACGACGCGTTGGAAGGGTAACATGGAACCCGCAGGAGTCCCCAACAATGATATCTCAGTATCTCTAATAGAAGCTGATCGGAGGCTCTTGGAAGACAGCTTCCTTTCGAAGAAGAACATCCTTTCGGGGAAGTTTTCCTTTTGGGGGTGTCGCCACCAGTCTACTTCCATGGTTGGACAAAGGGTAAAGGACTGTTTGGCATGACGGTTGACCAGAGAGGCAGCGACATGAGGCCGACCAGGTTGTCCAACATTCGCATGCTGACCCCAACAGAGGGCCACGAGAAATTTCCGCACGAAGCGGCAAACAAAAGATGGTCTGAACATCTTCTTCCAGCACCCAAAACAACCCAACAACTGCTTCTTCCCAGGTCCGGAAAGCAGTGGTTGACAAACAAGCTCTGCACAACCTGAAGCCACCAAACTCAGGAAGCCACCAGGAGCCCTGGCCTGCTTTACATATGCAACTGTGCATAGCTTGGTCAACCGAATACGGATCCCCGCACGCAAAAAGAAAAAACGCTGCCCCAATACAACGACACTCTCACGGATTCTCTACTAGACTGGCTTGCGTTGCGCATGCCCCCAACTTGGGTCTGTCTGTTCTTGCGGGGGGTACCCCTGTTTCGGCGGTTTTAAAAATAAAAACTCAAAAGGAGAACCATGAAATCATTCTCGGGTCACCCAAAGACAGCCACTCAGCTGAACTCCTGGGGCCCATGCGGTTCCCAGGGCCGGTCACCGAGGCCGCGGCCGGCCCATGGCGCTGTGCCTCATCATCACCTCTGTGACGTCGAGGGGCTGTCGGGCGACGATCGCGTTGAAGCCTGGCCGGTTTCGGCTCGCCCAAAAAGCCGACTTCAGCGCTGCCCCTTGGCCCCTCCCAGCCTTTTAGCACGGAACCTGATCGGGGGGGGGGGGAGGGAAGCATGGAAGACCATGTTCCTTTTAAAGGGACCCGGACCGGGTCCCGAACGTCAGGTGCCATGTGGGCAAGAGTGGGAGGGTACTTGGCGGTTTGGTGGTGGAGGCTTCCCATGTACCCACAAGAACCAGTGGCTCACCAATCCAATCCAAACCACCAACTCAAGAAAACCTGACAGATCGCAACTCACGTCCTGAGTGGATCGGCCAAAACAAGTACAACAAGTCCGAAATTTCTGGCGGGCTCCCACCAAACTGGTCTTCCCAAAACGTAGAAAGTCCAGGAACTCAGGGAGGCGGAAATTCCGCCCAGGAGGCCACGTTCAGATTCATGGTCAAATTTTGTTGCGTGGCTCAGCGTCATTGACCCTGTATCGAGTCGAGAACCCTCACAACGGATGTGCATTAATATCCCTGATAAAGGGTTGATGACCATTGCCCAGTAACCTCAAATGAAAGGCTACTTTCTTGATTGTACTTTTGGATTCATGATAGAGCTTGCTGGGGAATAGTTTTGACCCTTTGAGACGCCATTTAGCTGGGTATTCATGTCCGCCAACAAATGTTCCGGTGGTTCCAACTCTTTCAAGTCCTGGCCGAAGTTCAGGGCCATCCGTCAAGTTGCCAGGGCGGCTGTCGCGTGCGAGGCTGACTTCATTCGCCCGCCAGCACGTGGTTCGACGCAGTGGGGCCATGGCCCTGGGCCCCGGCCAGGGAGTGGTCCAAATTTGTGGCTCTTCGAGTCCATTCACTGAATCAGGGGAAACCCTTCGCAAGTCAGGCTTGGTACTAGTTCAAGCTTTGAACTTCTGGGCCAGCCACGCAAAATCCAAGCTCTGCTGGCAATTACTTTGACGTAGACGTGACCACCAAGGCCCCCGTGATGCGCATGGGGCGGTTTCCCCTTATCACCAGCGACCCCATGCCAAGGGTCGCAGCTTGCATCGATCTTGACATCTTGGGTTCCATTTGAAACAGGCGGCACTGGCGTAAGACACACTTTGACTCGGGGGGTCTTCTTTAGAAAGGCGAGCTTGACATGTTGGCCGGTACATGCAGGGCAAATGTAATTCAGACCTGAAATGCGGGATTCCAATCAAAAGCCTTCATGGGCGAGGGTGCTTGTCCCCTTCGAGGTCGCTCGGCGAATTTAACCCACTAAGAACAGGGCTACTTGGGAGATGGAACCAAGGCGTGGGGATATTTCGGACATCATACAGACACAACAAATTCAAAAAGAAGCAGTCGTGGTCACCCACGTGGAAGACCCCCTAGTCCGCTGTGGCTCCATGGGGGGCTCCTTTTGGTGGCTGTCAGAACAAGGACCCAAAAAAGGAAACGAAACCAAGAAGCATCTGGGCTGTCCTCAGGTCCCCTGCTTAAAAGTTACCTTTTGGGTTAAATGGCAACCCCCACGAACCCAACTAAAGACCAAGCCTACGGAACCGGACGATTCACTGACCGCACTTTGGCCCAAGGAAGCCAACCCAGTTTTCCCCTGTCCATTTCAGACCCAGGCCCCGACCCGCAATGTTCAGCGCCGGCCGCTTGAGCCGGACTCCGAACGGGCCAAGAATGATCCCCGCGAATGGCGCGGCTCACTGAGTAACATCCGCCAAGCACTCCACCGACCAATGGAAGCTGACGATCCTTTGGAGGACTTGGCAAACGAAATGATTCCTTTAGAGGAAGCCCCAAAACGTCCACTTCCATGGTTGGAGAGCGGATCAAATCCGGCAAAGCCTTCTCTTATTGGGACTCAGCAGGATTGCCAGCTGTGGAGTTTTTCCGGCGTTTGGTTCGTGGGCTGGCTATCAATGAGCTTTGTCAGAAATTTATTGTTTGCAGCACAAGCTGAACTCTTGGCTACCTACCAGTTCGCCCCAAACTTTCTAGCGCTCGAAGCTGTGCTCGGTTAAGGAGTGACGGGCTGAAGCCTGTTGGGGTCTGGGGTAAGTGCCTGGCTGCCAAACAGGTTCAGGGGACTGCTCCAGCGAAAATGGGACCCTGCTCCAACCCCATTTTTTTTACAGGGGGTCCTTTAGGCCGGTATGCATCAAAATAGGCCCCTCATTCAAACTGTTGCCCCAACTTAGATGAAACTCCTTACCATCCGGGTCCAACAACATGAAAACCAACCAAGTGGAGTCTCCAAGTTTGCTCTGGAAACCATACCCGTGGGGACCCCTCGCGCTCGCGCTCGTTTTGGTCTCCGGTGACCCGGTGACCAAGCGACGCTTCAGGCGGTCAGCGGGCTTCAGAGCTGCCACGAGCTTCTTCTCGAACAAAGTCCGGGTCTCCTGACATCATACCCAGACCCCCCAAACACCCCTTGTGTTTACTCAAAAAGACCCATGTTTGGAAATGGACCCAATCTTGGAGGTGTGTTTGGCGGGGTAGAGGAAAAGTTCGAGGACGCGAGAATCACCAACAGAAGTTCAACTTCCAGCACCCAACGATTGCTTCTCACGTCCAAAATCCGTGTCCGAAAAGCTGTCGATGAGACCCGGGTGCTGCCTTTACCCAGAAGTTCCCACCACCATTGCGGGGGGGGGGGGGGGGTAATGTCACCACCATGTTGCCTAAGTTACGTCATCTGGATTGGGTGAAGCGTTGTTGAAAGTCACACCGCAGGGTGTAGCCCCCAAAAGATACAAAGTTGTTGTTTGGGCCTGCAGAAGCAAACTCCGACCAATTCTATTCCAGAAAACTCAGTTTGGGAAAGCCACGACCAGCAGTACTGGCCGCTTCGTTGAAGAGTTGCTTGTAAGAGTCGAGTCGAAAACCAGGGGGCAACGTCAATCTCAATCTCTCAAAGCAACATCCACTATGATCTTCAGATACATGTATGTCGGACCACTGTTTGGGGTAGCAACGCAAGCGTCCTGGAGGGGTGTAACATGGTGATAGGTATTGCCCCGTCATGTTTCAGAACTAGGGCCTTCAGGTAGGCTGTCTGCAGCTACAAAATGCGGCTGGCCAAAAGCGGTGTCTCAGAACGGCTGCCTTTGTTGCATTTGGCATACTTCACTACCAAACGGCCAACGCTCAAAACCATTTCGCCCCGAAACAAACTCAAAGGGAACCTGGTAAGCTGCAAACGCTGGTGAGTGGGCACGTTCATAGCAAACATTGGCCGTTGCTCCGACAATCAATCTTTCCGCTTGTTCTGCACGAAAAGCAATACATCAGGCCGAAAGCGCAATGCTCATCAAAGGCCCCGGCAATGCGCGTGGAAGCACTAGCAATATTAGGCTAGGTCTTCGAGTAGGGAGGCTAGAATAAGGGTACCCTTTTTTCTGTAGTCTATTTTAGCAGGGGAACCCTCCCAACCAACAAAGGGGTGAGAAAGGGCACCGGGGGACGCAGTGCGGGTTTAACATCGCCTCTTTCACCATGCCTCGGCGATGTTTCAAAGCACCGGTATGCCCTAAACCTGGAAGCCCGTTCCTTCGCCTTCCTTTTACGCTTCAAACCAAACATCCAAAACGGGAAAGGCAGCCTACTCGAATTTATCCAAAGCCGCAGCCATGCCCCAGAATGCAGTCCTTGTACTTGAAGTTGGCCCACGCTTCCTTGGAGATGGCCCTGCCCTCTTTGCAAATCCTCCCATGGCGTCAGCCGAATATGTTGCCACCACGGAACCCCGGAGGCATTGAGGAAAATGGGAAAAGCCGCCCTTCAGGTGCCATGGCAATGTAGGAAGGATTCCCCGTCTCATGCACCCCACCCTCCACCAGCAGGCGTTGCTTTGATTTTCCCCCGTGCACCCGGATCTCAAGGATGCAGCGGATGATTGCTACCAACATCCAAGGGTTTGCCTTGCTTTAATCTAACGGTCATGCTGCTGCGCCTCTACAAAGTCTGCATGTTGAGGGAGGCATGGGAAGTAATTTTGTGTGGCCAAGCCATTCAGCTTTGTGAGTTGTGTGCCGCATCTCTGAGTAAGAACCTGAGCACAGGGCCCCGCTTGGCCAGACATCCTGGAACCATGTCTATATACCACCCATATATAAGCCTATAAGGCGGCATATACCCACTATATATAGTGGTGTACAACCTCCATACCTCCAAAATTCATACCCCAAACTTTGGCCTTGAAATGAGACCCCCCCCCACCCCCCGGAGGCCAATTCGCCCGCAGCCCGCGCCTGAACCTGCCGATGGACTTGTACTCCGAGATGATGCGGTGCGCTTTGTGCGGCCCGACGCCAGGAAGCCTCCGCTTCTCGCTTCCGCTTCTCCGCCGAAAAACGCACCGGCGGCGGCACAGTTCGTGGATGCGAAGGTCAGCAAGTTTTTGCGCGGGTGTTCAAAGGGATCCAATTTGGTTCACAATTGGAATGTGTTGTTTTTACCATTTGTTCGAGCATAAATGGATTCTTTGTGGGTGAAGAAATCAGCATAACACAATGGATCCATGATGTTCGATGATGCATTTGATGGAACGATCACGAGCCATCAATGGAAACGAGTGCAAAAGCAACGTCAGTTCACCCCTATTTTTTTGCTGGCTTGGAGGTTAGGTGCCTTTGCCCGCACAATAAATTGTTGGTCTCTGTGCAACACCGCATACACGTCTATCGCATGCTGCGGTCCAGATACCATGAAGATCGGACTGCCTGCCCATCTAGGGACAACCGTTGCATTTGCCGTTCATGTCACGTCTGGCGCCTTCCCGTGTAGTCACCTGAGCGTAGCCGCCCGGATGCAATCGCGGCGCCAACGGAAGCAGCAAAAAGTTGACATGTGCAGTTGACGGGAAACAAGGTCATCCAAGAAAATGCACACAACGCAATGTCGAAGGTCATTTACTTTGCAGGGAGACAGTGGTGCAGCCAGCACCAATGTGACATTAGGATACGTGTCCGTCATTGGTTCATGTTACACAGTATATACAAGTGACATAATTGCTGCTTTGCCCGCTTGTTGGCTCTGATGCTTTCGATGCGGCTACGCACATGGCGCATCCTTAGTTGCTTTGTGGCCACGACATCTCTTGACGTGGGGCTACTTTTGACACGGCCCTGGGTGACCAGCCCCGGCCGCACCGGGGGCCGCTAGCCACACATCGGCGGTTGTACCGAGTGCCGGAAACGGCTGAGACTCTACTTATTTGATTGTCAAACTCTTCATTTTCTGACACTTGCACACAATATATGTACCAGTCCCTGGGCCACGTACCCCCCCCCCCCAATGGTATGGTCCCCCCACTCCCCCGCATCATCCGCATCTTGGGGATGATGCTGGCAATGCTGGGGATGCTGTCCACTTCGGTCCTGAACCAACACCCCCGCACCTCTCGCAACATCCCCCTAAACCAAACCACCCTGCAACCCCTCCTTAACCCCAACCCTAAGCCTAAATCAACCCAAACCCCAAACCCACCCGAAACCCACCGCAAACCAACCCTGAACCAACCCTGAACCAACCCTAAACCAACCCACCAAGCCTAAACCAACTCCGAACCACACCCCAACCACCCAACCACCCAACCACCCAACCACCCAACCACCCCACCACCCCACCACCCCACCACCCCACCACCCCACCACCCACCACCCCCCACCCCACCACCCACCACCCCACCACCCCACCAACCACCCACCCACCCCACCACCCCACCACCCCACCACCCACCCACCCCACCCCCACAGGGGGGGGGGGTTGGGTGGGGGGGGGGGGTCCACGGCCTGGAACATATTATGCCACATACAAATGATGCCCAAATCCCAGTCACTGGCCAGGTCACCTCTACAATCATTTGGGTATGGGTCAAAAATTGAACTACCAGGGGCCCACAGGTTTTGGTCCATGTTTCTACTTGCCAGGGTTCCATTTGGGGTACCTATTTTTGACCCACAGCCATTTAAGCAATCATTCTGCCAGACTGTACAGGGTGGCTTCCTAGGCCTATGCGGATGGAACGAGGTCTCGTGGGCCAAGGCGCAGCCACAAAGTATGGCGAACTCCACCAACTGGCCTCGCGGGAAACTTGCGTGAGGCTGACTCCCCAAATTGAATGCGCGTACACCACAAAGAGACGTGCGCCGCTGGTGTCCAAAAGGGGGGCCGGGGCCCTGGTTCAACCAAATTCTTGCAGCCAACCCTTAGTTTCATAGGATCCCGAAAAAGGATGCATTGATTTGGGCCAGCTAAACGATCACCAAAAGGTTGATTTGGAGGATCACCTTGTAAGTTCGTGCGTTTTGACTTTTTCCTTTAAGGAGCACCGTAAAAAAAAACCGCCCATCTGCCGGACGAGGCGCGGTGGCTCGCAAAGCCCAGGGCCGCTTGCAGCTCGCTCAGCTCGATGCAAAAGGGACGCCGGGCATCTGTGTCCTGAGAGGGGACGCTCGGGTTGCTCAAGAAGCCAGGTTGACTAGGTCGATGATGTTTTCTTCACAGCCGTTAGTTGACCACTCCCAGTCAATCCATGGCAATCTACACTCACATTTACCCTTTCTGATTTGGGTCAAATGCTTTCTTTTCCCCTGCTGTTGTCCTTTGACTATTGGTCCGTCCCGATCCCTTCCAAATCCTAATTTTCGCTTGAAACACACAAATGGTCTGTTCTTTTCGGTCCTACGAGCGCAAGTCCAGGGCGAGAGACCGCAACATTTGCAAAGCCCCAATCACATTCGCCACAGCCACGTGAACAATGAATGAGATCTGTCAGGGTTCTTGAGGCCCATTCATTTCCGAGTTTAAGAGTGAACCAATGAAAGATTATCCTGATTCACAAGGAGTTTCACCCAAACGGAAGTAGCAAAGATCCGGACTTCACCATGGCTTCAACCACAAGGCTACTGTGTACATGCCGCTTTGAAGATGCAATCAAAATGCATTGACACTTGATCATGATGCCCAACACCCAACACGTTTTGACACACAGCTTTCATCATGTCCTGCTTGCTTCATTTGGAACGATTGCCACATATAATTATCAGCACCAGTACCATTTCATCTCAAAGTAGCCAACATGGAAAAGTGGGAAGATGTTACGTTGACGATATTGTGTACCGTATTTCTTTCTAGTTCATACAAAACTCTTAGAACTTCCACCAACCCTTCCGCGGCGCTTCCGCAGCCTCTTCCGCGAAGCGATTTGATAGAAACCGCTTCCACGAGCTCAGCGGACATAAGTTTGCCGCATTTGGAGGCATTTTGTTTCCGCTACCACAGTTTTGTCTTTACATTTTTAGGGCGGCAGCCTTGTTCGTCTTGTTGTTGTTGCTGCTGCTTCTGCTGTTGTTGCCGCTGGCAAGTCGTTTTCGCTGATGAGCATTCAAGCAGTGGGCTGCGACGTGTTGTCAAGCCGCGCAAGCCCTGAGCCAATGGAAAGCCAAGCAGGGCAAAAAAAGACGACTTGTTGGTCTACGAGAGGTGGCAAAGGGCCGGCTCCCCTTCTGCGCCCCTTCCATCTTCCGCAAAGCTTCCGCGGCGCTTCCGCGCGATTCTGTTTTTGGGTTCCTTCCAGCCTTTTTTAGCACGCGCCTCGGCCGCTTCATTCAACAAACGCTGCTTCATCGTTGTCACCATTGTCATTTGCCTGTCGACACAACTGCAGTGTCAGAACAAACGCAGTATACGCCGTAAACCCTTCCGCGAGCTTCCGCGAACAAAACCTTGTCTCGAAGCTTCCGCGGCTGCGGCTGCAGCGCGCAATTCCACAGAATATCTTTCCGTACCTTTATTTACTGATTTGAGGATCAAAAGACAACACTCTGGTGGGGCCGTTTATTTTTTGCACAGCAACTGAATGCGTTTCTTTGGTTGGCTTTTTCCCTGAAAAAAGCAGAAAAAGGGGGGGAAATCAACAAGAAAAAACGCGTGCCAACATGATGTGAGCCGCCCCCCCCCTCCCCCTCTCCCTACTTAGCCGTCCTTGCGGAGGCGGTCCAGGAAGCCGACCATCCTGGCGCCGGAACCTCTGTCCACGTCAACAGCAAAAACCCGTGGCCAGGGGATTTCCACGTCCCCATGCAGAGACGCTTCGATGTTCGGAAAACTGTCGGATTTTGCTTATGTTTTCGAGGGGGGTTCAAGGGGGGTGGATTGGATTCTGTGAAACTAGAGTAAGGTGTCCTTTTGGACAATTAGATGACACTGGTAAATGATAGGAACCAACCTATGCACAGGAGGCAGCCAGTTTCCCTTCCACCCACTAACATGGAACCTGATTTTCCTTTTCAAGGCAGGGGTTCCATGTTTGTGGACAGGAGGGTGACCCAAAAGGAACATGGCGAAGGGGGAAACCCACACTGGTGACAGGGATCTGGGGATCTGTGTCTAGAGGACTTGCCTTTGGTCCCCATCCGCATCGATTCGGATCGATGCGTCCTGTGCGCGCCGAAGATCAGAGCGTCCAAGTCGTCCGAGGACACCAGGTCGCCGCCGCCGCTCCGCTTGG